GCGCATAATTTTCATCGATGCGTGTGCCTTCTTTGACCATACGAGCTGTGAGAGCAAGACATCTTGATAACTCAAGATAATGTCAAATATTTGTACAAATGGAATGGAAGATGCTTCGCCGTCTAACAAACATGTTAGTGACAAGACCAACAAGTTGACACTCCGAGAAGCCCCTATGCAGTACAACATACACAATCCACTTGTAGTTGAAGGGATTGATCTGACCCTTCGCCCCCACATATAACAATCAGTTGTGGTCTGCGCTTACTTCCACAAAATGCAATTAAAAAAAATCTAGCTAACTTTGCCTTAAGCCTAAGAGACGCCTACTATTCCTCTTTTGGTTCGATGAAACTTGTTTATCTGAAACACGAGTGACGGGAGTTGATTAGCTGTCGTCTGATTGAAAGTAAAGAAGATGTGTATGCTCAAAAATTGGCCATCGGAGCTGGGCCCTCGGCTGGAACATTACAATACGTAAGATATTTAAGCGAAGTCGGATATCCTGCAGAGAGCAAACTGACCGCCAAACAACCAGATCTGAGCTCAAAAAGGGTCGAAATGGGAGTTGATACTCAATGTTTGCTAGATACGCAAGACCGATTTCAGGTCCTACTCGCAGCATCCCTTCGCAGAGGCCCCGGAGACCACGAATCTAGAAAGGCTAGCTGAGCTGAAGACGATTGATTTGGCAGCACTCCAACCATGATGACAGGAGGCGTTCAGTGAGGTCGAGATCGGCTCGGACCGAGAAGTGGCAAGAGGCGGGCCGGGGCTGTACGGTCGAAGTCCGACGCTGTCGTGTATGTACGCGGATGCCGGAATACATCCGGACATATGGTCCACTTGGGCACCGCTCTTTTCGTTCTCGACGACGTCCTGTAGATGATCGACATTCGACTAATCCAGGAGGGATCGCTGGATCGGTGATCTGTTGAGGTAGTTGAGCTTGTCAACATTTCCAACACCCTTGGCTTAATTTCCGAGTCTATACATCAAGGACCAAACGATAATTGAGGATTCAACATCCGCCAAAATCAGTTGTGATAGAAAGTATGTCAGCTTTGAAGGCAATCTAAAAAAGTTCAGTAGTAATTAAAAAACCCCTCCTGATCATGCACGCCATAATACACCCGGCCACCGAGTCCAAGCGAAGGGGATTGCGCTTTATCATCACTAGCTAATTGGACGTCGTGATAACAACAAGAACAACACAAAAAAACCGGCCGGCCAAGGATCCGGCAAGCCCAGGAGAAACGTACCCTTTCCGCCTCTTACCCACAAGGGAAAAAAGCGCTCACCTTCAACAACATCAGCGCTAAGTGCAGGAGTGGAAATCATCCACCAAGGGCGATTATCGGAGATGGATCGTATGATGTATCTGTCAAGCAAAAGAGGGTCTAAATCTTTCTAGCGCGCCCGACGAACATTCACCACGTATGCCTAGTTTTGACCACCGCCAAAACCCCCCGTTCTACTCCATCGGGAAAAAAAGTGCTAGAGGCCTTAGATGACGTCACTGGAGAAATTAAGTTAAGCACCAAGTTTTTCCGTCGGGGCGATTTTAAGGTTAACGAAATTCACTGTCATTCCACCAAGGTATCTGATATTTTTGGCATTAGAACTTTAGATCAACAGATTTAACAGATTGAACAGATTGAACAGATTGAACAAAGTATAATATCTATTCCGACGAAAATCCGACCAAAGGTCAAAAGTCTCCGACAAGCTTTAACTTCGGAGGAATTCCACCACTTGCACCATCTCAAAAATCTGGTTTAGTGGAGACTTGGCTCGGAGGAGCATCCTCCGTAGTCTAGCTGAACAGGAAATTCCAGAGTTCCACGGACCTTCCAGAAGATAGCCGGATGGCTCGGCAATGCTAGTGATAAGGCTCGATGGCTACTTGCCGATCTACGTGCTGCAGAATTCTCTGGTCACAACTTTAATGCGTTTGATAATCGTTTGATCCACACCAAGCAGAAACTTCACTGGCACTGCCGTGTTGACAACGGACGGGTAACGGCACAGCTCAGGTACCAGACGCTGATAAATCCTGGACAGGTAAAATTTGAAAATTGGAGAAGCTATTTGATTTAAAAAGGGTGCCATCTGTCTTGTGCTCTTTCACACCATCTTGTTTTGACGCAAAATCACATTAACAACACCGGCATTATGAGCGTCACGTTTGAGGTTTTCCGCGGCTCCAAGGAGGGCAAGATCGTGGCCGACAAGACCACCCGCACCCTACAGCCTAATGAGGTCTACATCGAGACAACACACTCCGGTCTCTGCGGCACAGATGAGCACTTCCTCTCATCCGGCATGGCTCTCGGTCACGAGGGTGTCGGTATCGTTCGCCAGCTCGGCTGTGACGTCACTAATGTCAAGGTTGGAGCGCGCGTCGGATACGGATATACGCATTACGTGTGTGGAAACTGTGACAAGTGCTTGACGGGTACGGATTCCAACTCCAAAACAAGATCAACATCGTACTAAACCAATAATCAACCAGGCTGGGACCAATACTGTGAGCATAAGAAAGAATACGGCTCACACGACCACGACTTGGGCTCCTTCAGCGGCGGCGTCGTTTGGGACGCCGGATGTGTTGTCCCTATCCCGGATGGCTATGACTCTGCCGACGCCGCGCCCTTGATGTGCGCCGGTGCTACCGTCTGGACCTGTTTGACGGAGTACGGCGTCAAGCCGACAGACCGTGTGGCCATCATGGGCATCGGTGGCCTGGGCCACCTGGCCATCAAGATCGCCTCGGCGATGGGTTGCAACGTCGTTGTTTTATCTAGCTCGGATGCGAAGCGTGAAGAGGCCTTTGGGTTCGGCGCGTCGGAGTACCACGTATTCCGCAAGGGTGAGGAACTGAAGGACTTCAAGCCTGTGAACCACCTGCTGCTCTGTGGCAGCGCCAACGTCGACTACACGAGCCTCATCCCGCTGATGGATGTGCATGGCTCGATCTACCCCCTAACGGTCGACTTGACCCCCTCTCCCGTTCCCCTTCTGTTCATGAATAACAAGGGCATCCGTATCCAGGGTTCTCTTGTTGCGTCGCGTAAGAGTCTGCGCACATTGGTTCAATTTGTTGCCGATAAGAAGATTACCCCGACTACCATGACCTTCCCCTTGACCAAAGATGGTGTCGAGGCTGCTATGCAGACACTGCGTGATGGAAAAATGAGATACCGCGGTGTTCTGGTTCGGTAGTGAGCGAGGATGATGAGTATCGATAAAGAGGCTTGAAACAGCCGGCATGTATTATTAGATTCACACTATTAGCCGAAAATTCATAGACATGGCAAGTGTAGTTAATTAAAAGACATCAGCGAAAGTGAGCAGAAACCTCGTTGCCAGGCCCATCAATATTATGGTGGCCGACGTAGCTGACCATTATAAAGCTGCACATTGTTAGACCTGCAGGTAGACGTTCTCGGGATTTCTACAAATAGAAGAACCGTGCAGAAGTGTCAGAAATAAAACAACATCGTAGTATTTTAGCGACGTTGAGATTCAAACGGGGGTGTAGACTCCAGACTGCGATGCGGTATAGCCATCAGTTTTCAAATCCCGTTTAAGGAGGCACTCGATTCCTGAATGCTCTGATTTAGAACGACAGAAAAACTCAGACCTCTTCTCAGAGGATGTCCCTTATTGAAGGCCACCAACCTAGTGTCGACGCACCGAAAACCCTCTGCTAGAGATATAATCTCCAGTCTTACTCACGAAGTGTCAGTATCAGGGCAGATCAGACTACTGGGTTTGTTCCTTATGAGGGCTTGACTCTGCATATGCTGACACTGGCGATAATTCAAGAGCCTCTGTCAAGTTTAGTAAGACCAATCCTCAAATTCTATGATCGTCGCCAAGTCTAGGGGAGCATATGAGTTCCACGGTTGGTAGGATAGGATAGCCTCACCAAAAGTCATAGGCGCGAAGCAAGAACAGGCTATTGTGTAACGATTATTAGCTCTGGAACACTTTAGAATCCTAATATTGGCAAGAAGCCAACGCTTTGCACAGAATTTGGCATTGTGATATCAAATTAGCTTTCCTTGGTGGCTCATATACATGTTTCAACGTGATACTGGTGCTGGCCCTGCATGTTTTTAATTTTCTCGCCTTATTCTAGCATTATCCAGCTGTAGACCCCATCAGGTCATCTTCAGTTAGATTCAAGTACGATTGTGCTAGGTGGCTGATCAAACCAAATGAATTGGAGTTGCCCTTGTCCCTTATTCTGCAAATTTTCAGAAAGGGGCAAAAGGAAAAAGGTGAATCAAACAGAAAATTCAACCTCGAGAATTCACCCAGCAGCATTGAGTGGCTGGCACAATAACAAGGAAGATCCATTTGGTTCAATCAGAGTCCTACCATTTTCCACTAGTTGGGTAGCGGCCAGTAGAAGGCGCGGCTGAGGTTTCTAAATACACTACTTGTGGCTAGTTGAGAGAGCTGAGACAATTCAACGAATCCTAGTTACTGTCAATTGCCAAGCCAGCATGCAGGCCAGATGTAAATCCCGTGCAACAGTTGATCAGTGATCTCCGAGCCCGATCAAGTCCCCCCCCCATCTCTCTCTAGGTCGACGTCACAGCTGCCTGTAGCTATAAGTGGTAAATTTGAAGTTGACTGCATCAGCGAATTTTGGCTGGGGACGAATACCTGTATTGTTTTGGTCGCCAATAGTTTCCTCACACTACACGACTGATTGTAATAGGCGTTGTCATTCGTGGAGCTGAGAGTTGCACTCTGGTGCCCCAAGTCTCATTCGACGTGGATTTATAATTGCTGTGTGGCCAGCTTTGACCACTGTCCTACCATCGCAAGTCTCGAGAAATAAGAAAAAAACACTCGCTTCGGCGCGGTGCTCTAAGTGGAAATTTCCCTGATAATTACGAATGCACTCCTTCGGGCGATTAAGAAAAAGATACCCCAAACGAAAAATTGCTTCAAAAATTTCATTATTTTCAACACTAGAAAAGATGAAATCTGAATCATCTACGCACGAGTACTACCAGATCAAGCCCAGTTTCCAGCTAAACTATCTAATCCTAATGATGGTATCAACCGCAAGGTCCTTTTCCTGCAGGAGATCGACGAATAGAGCGGCAACTAGTCAAACATAAAGCAACTGGATCTTTTAATTCTAGCTCTGGATGATTTCTTGAAGCTGGACTCCGAAGAAAGACTGTCTTACTTTCAACTTGCTGATATGTCTCCAGTCATGAGCTTCTGTTTTATAGTGTTTGACGTACATTTGATCAGCCATCCATGGACAACCCTTTATGCGATGGGATGTTCTAGCCCAGAGCCCATGAGAAATGGCTACTGCTTCCACTCTCATGTGATTTTTCCAATTTGGCACCGGCCATATGTGCTTATTTTTGAGGTAGGAAGCCCTCTTATCGGAGACAAATTGGGTGCTGATTGTCTTCTAGCAAGTCGTGTGCGATATCATGATCAAGGAGGCTATCACTCAATTCTTGTAAATCCATGAAGTTTCATTGCGTGATCAATCTGAATCGTGCCGTCTTCCCTTCCAGAACTGGGCACGAAATGGCCGTATCCCTAACTTGACAAAACATCCTACTATCACTTTTTTTAGGCCCGAGGACGGATCGGTTCGAATCAACAATCCTTAATCTCAGTTTTGGACGCCCACAGATAAGTAACGAACAGTCTGACTCCATAAGTTCGGCAATGCAATCGGAACTAACCGTTGGCCGGGTAAAGAGGACCAGAATTCAAGCAGCGATGGCAAGTGGCACGGTGCAGTCAATAACCGCAAAGTGGTCGATGCCTTTTAACTCTCACGAAGGATACAACGACAAGAATCATGGTCCTACAGCTAAACTGGTATATCGACCGCCTACTGTGCCTATGGACTACACTGTCTTTGCAAGCACAAATCCAATCTCGAAAGACCAAAATGTTGATGAGGACTTGAATATAGAATCCGTGAGTATATAAATTTGATACATCACAGCACAGGAACTGACCGGAATTTTACCTCAGTGGATCCTAAACAATGTGGAAGTTTTTCATCACTCCCAAAGCGTCATGCCAGAGGAATTTTTCTGTCAATGTCTGCTGTACGATATTTCAGTCGCTTCAAGCACTAACAAGGTTCTTTCAAAGTTACGGCTGGACAGCCTTAGCAGGACGTTTCGGAAATGTGCCGGTTGCCTCTTTTGACACGCTATTCTTCTTGCATCGCTGGTAAGAGTACCATTTTCGACCAGCTAGACACGATCCTCTGATTTGAAACTTCTTGAAGCAAAATCGACCGACTTGTTGCCAGTCGGCAAGCTCTTAACTTTGACAAGTGCATGGATAAGATCACTGCCGACAATGCTACAATCCGTAACTTATTTGGCAAAGAGCACCCCGTGAATGGAAAGACGCCTCTTTAGCCATTTCGACGTGGTGCTGAGGGGAATTTTTGAACCCCAAAGCTCCAACCCCAGAGGGCGTTGAGGCAATTGACGGTCAGACATGGTCACCGAAGTGTATAACTTCAGCCAAAAGCCCGAGTTAGATCGTTCTTCAGTCTGTGGGCACTGCACAAAAGGACCAAACTCGCGCATAAAGTCAACCGCTTACATCCCAATTACCCCGGTTCTCCACCAGCTTCGCAGGGGTGGACGGAACCTGATGTCCTTGACTCGCGACGAGGGTTTGGCGTACATGAGAAAGTGCGCATACTAGCGGGTATTCGAGGCAAGCACATCTAACTATTGACTCTCACTCCCATTTTATGATAACCACTGATCTTTCGTAGAACGAAAACAATTGCCTCGCTACGAGGTTGAGCAACTGAAGTTAGAAATCATTGGCGGCGGCAATGACACGAAACACATCACAGACCCCGCTACTCTGCCAGCCTTTGTGAATGTCAAGGAAGAGCCAAATATCACTGGAGGTACTGATGGAGCGCCGGATCTAGAGCTGAAGCAAGCGAAGATTGACCCGCCACCTGCTCGGTGGGCTCCCAGTCCTACAAAAGGAAGAGATACACGTGAAATCATGGCCACCAACTCAAAATCAGACCAAAACGACCAAGAGCGAATCTACCACTTCATGTCACTCTTGATTCCAGCAAGCTCTCACGTCCGACAGGGTCATTCTCCTCGAGTCGTCAAGCGTGGATCTAGTCAAACCTGACGATGGCATTGACATGACCCAAATTTCGATTATCGATGCAGAGACTGACACTATCTTCCATTTATCTATTCGCTGAGCTCAAGGTCAAATCGATTTCAAAGCCAAGTTCGGCGGATGATGGGGTGAGGAGGAACGGATCAACATTGACCATCGCTTCGACAGTGAAGATGGTGCAACAATTTTGATCCATGACCAAGGAGATGGCTTCGAGGTTTCTATTGACTGGGTCCATGCAGTTTGGTTTGCTCAACGGGCTCAGGACAGCAGGACACTACTGTCAATCTGGTATGATATTTGGTAACACAGAGGCAACTTCTGGTTCATCCGAGGATCTCGAAGTGCGCACCTATCCTTCGATGAAAGCTTTGTTCTTGCTAAGGCATGCTCATGAGGAAGGGATGTAGCCATATGTCCTTGATCTGTAGTTTGATCAGGGCTTACGAAACCTGGCAAACATGGGACTTTGGACACCTAGTTTTAGGTCTGGCTTTGAACCAGCCTGTCTACAAGAACAGAACAGAGTCTTCAATCTTAAAATTGTCCCTTTTCTCTGGGAGTATGAGTAGTGCTCCGCGATCACAATCTTTGGCTGAGCTAAGGCCAGTAGTAAATCCCACGATCAATATCCTTCTTGAGTTTATCATCAACGCGCAGATATCCAAGCCTTTCCAAATGGTCAAATTTCCGGATAATCAGTTCGCCCACAATTCCCCCAAACAGAGTACTCCCAGGCAAGTTTAAATGGGTATAGTCTGTTGGCTTGAGGTTGTATGTAAAAGCGTTTTCTGGTCCAATTGCATTGAGGTACTGGGTGCTCGCTTTGTTCAGGTCAATATAGGCAGCATGTGAGCGATGAGCAGCAATGATGGTGGATATGGTCTCATTGGCGAGACTCATGACAATCCGCGGTGTCCCTGTTGAGTTATGGTAGTTGCGCCGAGACAGAGGAGTGACGAGAATCGGTGTAGCGCCAGCATCAGAAGCCTCAGTCACGAATCTTTCAAGGTTGCTGGTGTATTGTGCCAATGATATGTTTGCAGCCGGCTTTTGGTCGTTGTGTCCAAATTGGATCGTCACAAATGGGTGATAGTCGTCTCGAACTTGTCTCACGGTCGCTAAAACCTCATCCCAGTCACCTCTTTCTCGAAAGCTGACAGTTGTTGCACCATTATGGCCGAAATTGCGACCCGAGGCTCCTTTCCAAAGGGTGGTGTTGAGAAAGCCATCCCCCCATCCTCCACCGTTCGAGGATTGAGTAGCTGTGGTGCTATCACCCACCAGAACAAAGAATGGAGTCTTTTGCGAGCGTTTGAAGGCACCGGAAGGATCTGCCTGAACATAAGATAGGATGCTGAGGAGAGCCACTCCGGTTGCTTTTAGGATCGTGCTCATCATTCTGTTCCTGTATTTTCGTTTAAGTCATAGGGAATCATGTCCTCCGTACAAAAGACGAATTGGAAATGAACTTATAGCACTCCGATGTCGGGAGGATAGACTGATTTCTCCTATTGGTGGAAATCCCTTGTAGGAAAGTGAAACGATATTCCAACTTCTCGCGGCCGAATTTCCCGAAGGTACCCGTGGGCCAAGGATGAGAAGAAGTTGATTCAATTTTGGTTTGCACATTTACACAGTAGAATCTCCTCGAACCGCAAATCAGTGTTATTTGGTACTTCCCAGTTCAAGATTCGTTAGCCTTGCAGCTCCGAATATAGACCATGCTGCAGCATCCACCAAGATTGTTGGCATTCTGAGCAGCCTTTCCAAGGCAGCTTCGCAAAATTGTATGCGCGTTTCTTCAGTTCATGAATTGACTTTCTTAGACTACCTCCATTCTACCAGTCCCACCTTCGCTCAAAGGTTTAGAACCTTGGAGACAAGCTCCGCCACCTTAACCAGTTCCTCGTCGTGCATGTTTCTGTCAATAAGTTGCACACAGCATGGAGCCCCCTCGATGTCATCAGCCAGATCTCAAATTCCAAAATTAGCAAGAAACACATCACTTAATAGTAAGCGAAAAGTAAAACACCTACAGGGAGGTTTGTAGTTCACACTCCGAATGAATGCCTTGTCGGCACTCTTGTTCGCCTTGCCATGCGGAATGATGCAGCTTGGGTACTTGAAAGAATTAGCCTCACATCGTGTGATGAGAAGAGGTAAACGTACATCCATCACATTCCAAAGGGTGGTATAGGGGACAAAGCCAAATCGATCATGGGGTTGTGCGGTGCCTTGATAGCCCGGCATGACAATGGCGTCGACTTTTGCCTGCACAATGAGATTGCGGAACTCCTCCTTGATGTAATTGCGCTCCTCGTTGAGGTCGTACAATCCTTCGAGTGTCATTGGGGCATATCCACATGGCATGTAGTTATGGTGCAGAGATGTCGATGCCAAAGCAGGGATGGTGGGTTCCCCACTGGCAGCGATGTGCTTGAGTGGAGTGCGAGCTGGATCCATCGAGTACATGCGAAATGCCAACGCACAGGCATCTCGAATGAGCAGTGTTTTTAGGGGAACGATCTCATTCCCAGCTGCTTGAAGCTTTTCAGTTGCACTTTTCAGGGTTCGCAAAACTGGTGGATGCAGAGGGAAATGGGGATCCTCCTGAATGAAGCCGATTCGCAGGGCAGACTTGGGGGAAACGGTGCGCCAAGGTGAAAACAAAGCGGAAGAATCCAATTGCCATGGATCTTCATTCGTCACCAGCCTCATGAATAGCTCCAGATCTCTGACTGATGTTGCCAAGGGTCCTGCACAAGCCTTGATTCCGGCCAGACCTCCGCGAGCAGAGCTAGTCTGTCCCCCATACGGAATGCGGTCCGCGGAAGGTCGCAATGCGTAAATCCCGTTACAAATAGCTGGAATTCGAATGGAGCCAGCAATATCTGTACCAACACCCAGCACCGATCCTCTCATAGCAATCAATGCCCCTTCTCCCCCAGTCGACCCCCCAGCGGTAAGATTCGATCGGTGAGGATTGAGGGTCCGTCCGAACACGTAATTGTGCGAGTCAGCGGCCTTGTAATTTGAGCAATTTTGACACGTTTATGATTATAAGAGCACTCACCATCATTGTCTGGGGAACATTTGTCTTCACATACGGGATGGCTCCTAAGTTAATCAAAATCTGAATCACGGGAGAGGTTGAATTCACAGGGCCATTTTTGATAAATGAGGTAAATCCAATCGTGGACGGAACACCATCAACGTTGAAGCAATCCTTTATAGTACATCAGTAGGCCCAAATTTTGCGGTCCAAAGTTGTCGGCGTACCTTGAAACTGATGGGCAAGCCGTGCAAAGGCCCAACTGGGGTCCCTGTTTGGGCTAGTATCTCATCCAAATCCTTTGCTCGCTGCAACGCACGCTGAAAGAAGGTTTCAGTGAGGCACCGAGTCTGCAAGTTCATTGTAAGCCGGTGGTTCAGGATGAAATGGATTTAGAAGAGAGAGGTCATGTCAACACATACCACTTGCTGTGCGATCGCAGCGCGAATGCAAAATGCTTCCGTTACCTCATAGGCAGATATCTCTTGACCATGAATCTTGGCGAGCAGATCAGTCGCATCATAGTTCTCGGTTATCTCGAGTTGTCTTGCTGACAGAATTCCTGATCGACGCGGAACATCTAGCACATTCATATCAGATGTCTGAGATATCTTGGTTAGTTCTTCCGAAATTCGCCATGCAGTTGGGATTTTAGCATCATTCTCAAGTTGCTTCTTGTGCACAAGCACTTCCCAGGATTCAGCCTCCATCTCTGACGGTATATGATTGTTGGATGTTGAGAAAAGAATAAGAAGAAAGGGGATCAAGTGAGCAAATGATGATCAAGTCACTGATGCGGTGTGAAGAGGAAGAGAAAGAATGTGCGAGGATAGAAGTCTTCATATTGAAAGCTGCAGCACCGAACCGCATCAAACATGGCAAAACAGGATTCAAGCGAATGACTCAACTTGACCTCACTTTTTGAAATTTAGATCTACATATGTAGCTATTTCTCAAATCCTGGTACTCCTTCCATGAGTCTTATTCGGAATCTAAAAGCAGTTATAGAATCTCACTACATCTTGGATAGCAGCTGCAACCTAATCTACTCATCAAGCTCAATATAGTCCCAAAGTCATATGACATCTAGTCTGGCTTATCTGGCCGAAGGCTCTGGACCCTTCAGTGGATTTTTTTTTCCAGCTCAACTGTTATTTCTGAATCGATCGATCACCTTGGCCACGTATGGATGGACAAGCCTCCAGAGACCTAGACACTTGTGCCAAAGACCCGGGTAAAAAGAATGCAAATGTCAGCTTATCATCAGTCTCTAGTTTTTGCAATTCTTCACTGCGATATTGAGCCTGGTATGTGTTCTCCGAATGAAGACCTTGAGTCCATCCATTGCGACCACAGGATACCCGCTCTGGTATTGGAGTGTTTTATTCTAGAGCACTACATTCCACGTCAACCAATTCGGGTAATGGCGTGTTGTAGTGTTCTAGGGTACTATGCTTGTCTCGATCCGATACATCATTCACCTCAAGGACGAGTGTCACTGGACAAGATCAGTAGCATGTGACCAAAATCATAGGTTCTGGACTCCTACCAGACTATGATATGTCAACCCAAAGTGGTTCTTCATCCCAACCTAGCTCCAATAGGGCAGTGGCACCATCTTCCGGTCGACGTGGTGGACCAGCTTGAACTAGAAGCGGGGATCAAGATGAAACGCCCAGTCTTGATGCTCAATCGACAAACAAAGTACTATCGGCCAAGGCCGGGAAATTTCAACACCGCCTCCTTCTAGATTGTTTCCTTTCAAAACTGCAAATACCTAATGCCTCAGCACAACTATCATGAAGAGTTTGTCGTGTCGAATCTGTAACTGGGGCTTTGCAGAGCTCATCGTAATGAGGATTGCCAGTGCATGGCAAAGAGCTTTCGCCAAGTCCGATGCCTGTAGGAAATGTATTGCTCGTTTGTCTCGCCAACTAGGTAGCTCGCTCCCTATAGGTTCAACCGGTGGGACCATCTCGAGTCAAAGCAATGCGGACATGCTGAGCAGCTGCGACACATTTGACGGAACCTTTGCAATATCCTCTTCTACCAGTGGAGTGATCACCATCAATAATGTCGAGGAAATCGAGGGCGCACTAATTGCCGATGGTGCTTCAAAGCTCACAAATCCTTTTGCCCCTGATTTAATCCGTGTGTGGGGAGCTATCACACTGAGTAATCTCAAGCCACTCTCAATTATAACCATGGGCGCGCTATCACAAGTGTCTTGAAGCATGATCATCACGGGGAATCCGAACCTGAAAACATTGGGGTTCCAAGACTTGGAAAAAGTTGAAGAATTGTTGGAATTGGCGGGATCATTTGACAAGGAATTAAACAGCCATGAGATGGTATAAGCCGCATGACAGGCCGCTTTCTCGCAATCACACAGGTATCCTTGGACCATTTTCTTAGATGCAACAAGTCCAGATGAGTTTTGCCGTCATTGCCGAAGTCCAAAGAAGGCAACAGTATATGGCCGACTGAATCTGGCCTACAACATTGTATCTGTATGGGCTTGTATAGTCTGTAGAATCTTCGCATTTGATATGCATGTCAACACCACCAGCCGCCTGTGTGGCCACGCTCCGAGGAACACAGTCTACAGTGAGGGCTTGTGCTAGAACTCCAGGGCTAGCAACGCACTGTAAGCGCCTCGAGAATCAGGAACTTAACAAGCATCAGCCTGGGCATGTTTACAAAAATTGATCTTGATCGGTTTGTTGTTGTGAAATTTGTCTAGAGATATTGGCACTGGTGCAAACCTATTGACACTCTATAAAACAAACAGATTTCTACATCTCTTTCATTGCGTTGACGCTAGGGCGATCAGCGAAATCAAACACTCAGAATAACCTTGTGGCCAGCAGCCTTCTCCTCGGGCTCGCCGAAGATGTCAACATTCCAACGAGGCTTGTTGGCAGTATAAGGGGTGTTGTAGCGCTTCCGGTCCTGGCCCAAAGCGCTGACCTTCTGAACCTCCTCGGGGGTGAGTTCTATTTCCTTGAAGTTGTCACGAATACGCGAAGGCGTGACCGACTTAGGGATGACACTGTGTCCACCGACCTGAGACCAGGCGAGACTTGAAAACGATTAGTTTTCACTGGGAGAAACGACAGGAAAGGCGTGCATAATCTTACATAACGTGTGCAGGGCTGACTTCCTGGCCGGTGCGCTTTGCAACAGACTCGGCAACTTCTTTAATCTCGGGGCGAGTGATGAGCAGGGGAATATCGAGCATGTTGTTACCAAATGCCTAGAGCTTTGGTCAGCATTGAGTTTCTCCACCATTAACCCCACAAAATTTTAGATACGTACAGAGTAAGCAGTGATATGTATTCCCTTCTGTTGGCAGTACTCAATTAGGTCATTACTCTGAAGCACGGGGTGGCGCTCGATTTGGTTGGCGGCAGGGACAACACCTGTGCCATTAATGAGAGCCTCGAGCTGCAGAGTTTGTCAGCTAATGCTTGGCCATTCCTGAGGCAGGGAGGACACGAACATGCTCAATCTTGTGGTTGGAGACACCGACGGAGCGAGCCTTGCTCTTGGGGAGCTGGGTCATGGCTAATAGGAGTTAGCTGTGTGTGATTTTCTCATTCGCACAATTCATCCACTTACCCTTCCAGGTGTCGACAATAGAGACGCCGTCGTCAATGATCACATCACCACCCTCAACGGTGCTATTGGCAACGAGTGGGAAGTACGAATCGCCCTTTTGGAAGGCAACAGGCCAGTGAACAAGGTAAAGCTTGGTCTGTCAGCAATAGCTCGCGATCTGCTGAATGAAATAACCATACGTCAAGATAATCCAACTCAAGTTCAGCAAGGCAAGCATCCAAAGAGGCCTCGACAACCTCCGGGCGGTGCTGGCTACATGTAGAGTCAATAACTTTGTGCTGCAATATTTTATGTAGGTCAGGGTATCAGTACCTGTTCCATAGCTTGGAGGTCTGTAGAATGAGATGTCAGTTGCCGAAATCGTGCAACTTTCCAAGCACGGATGGACTTACAATGAAGAGATCCTCGCGCTTCAGACCGGGAACATCTTTAAAAGCACGCTTGATGCCCTCGGCAACCTCACGCTGATTCTCGTAGCTATGAATTAGTAGTAAGTATAGCGCCATTGTGCTGGGTGATGTTTCACGATCAGGGAATTGGTGCTGCATACATAGTTGCCAAATCCTGAGAGGGGTGGGGGGGGTTAGCGAACAGACTGAAGAGATGATAGATGTACATTCACATACAAGGTGACGGTAACCAGCCTTCAAGGCCTCGTAGACAGCCTCGCCAACCTGGCCAGGGGCAGACTGCCAAGTACCAAAGCCCAGCTGGCTAAAAAACTTGGGGTCAGCGATGAAGCCTCTCAGTATTTTCTACAGAATATACGCACGGGATTTGGTGGCCGGAGTTGAGTGTGACTTTCTTGCCGAGAGACATGATTTTAAGAGACTGAAGAATGGATGAAATGGAAAAAGAGGAACGAGACGTGGACATCCCCAACCTTTTAACTCCTCGGGTCCCCGGTGGGGGAAGGGGGGAGGAGGGGGGGGGTTTCTAAACTGTCCAACCCATGCCCCTCTCGGAGTAGACTCCACCGGCAAGACATTATTTCTCCGTACAAGGCGGATAAATAAAAGGAATCAGAAAATTAGAAAGTCAGTCCCGTTCATACACGGTCATTTACATTCATTTTCACTATCTAGAATTAGAAATTCGCCGGTTACTGATATATCTCCTACGAAAGGGTTCTAGGTTATAATGTGCAACACCCTTCTATACAAAAGAAGACCCTAACCCCCGCGGGGTATGATGTCATTTTTTTACTCTTTTGGCTATCTTTTTCTTTTGGTATTTCTTTTGCATATTTAGATGACTTTCGCACTTTTTTCAGGTCATACTCCATCTGACATATCGTTGGGATATTGGGCATCAAATCCCTTGTGCAGGGGATCGGCTCTATTGGTGCGATCGCTCCGTGTGCCGAGAATATATGGTGCAATTTCGCAGTCGAACGACCGAGCCCCTGGAGGTAGCCTCAACTTTCTGATTTCGTTTTTTATCCTCTCATCTGCCAAACAGGGTTTCTCCATAAGTATCTAATATTGAACGACAGCACTCCGGTCCAGATCAACCAGAAGCTCGGTGCGTTCATTTGGCCCCGAGCAACCACGAACGATCACCGGGGGCTGCTCAAGATGTTCTCCCTCCAAGAATGTTATTATCTTCTGCCTTGGTGGCTCTTTCAAGGTGATGACACAGACTTCTATATCTACAAAGCGCTTGATGCAAGCGCCGAACAAGAAGACCCACCGGTTGCACGAAGGGCTGTCGAAGCCACAATGTGCAATCCTGACTAAGATACGTACGATGAGGGTCAGGCTTCAATATTTCCTATTCAAGATAAAGGTAGCCGAGATAGACCAGTGTATATAAATGGTGGGGGCTTATCGACTCCAAAAGATATCTTAGTGTAGTACCTACGATTAATTTTACAACAAACAAACTAGACAAAATTAGGATTAGAATTATAGAGATAGACTATGTTGAGATTATAAGTAATCCGTAGGCTACCACTATTTAGTAAAAATTTACATACTGAATAAGTCAGCTCTAATAGTTTTAGCATAAAATGCCCAAGGACAATTATGATAAACCGATAGGCCTTCCGATTTTGGATCTAGGGATAAAAGAATAGGCACTAGCTGATAGTACACACGGTACGATAATGTAAAAACTTCCTAGAGTCGATAACTTTACTAATTAACGAGCTAGACAAACCATACTATCAAGTAAAACTAAGGTAGGGGAGGGTATAGAGAGAGTAAAGTAGGAGTTGGAAGATTGAGGGCACACTCTATAACAATCGCCTATTCATTTCTGATAGATAGATATAGGATTAGCTTTATAGATATCACGGTTTACAGGCAAAGGCTGATTCTACACTCTTCACGATCCGCAGTATCTAAATGCTCCATGGGATGCACTAGTTATGTGGTCCTAGCTCGGCGTTCTAGACTCGAGTTCTTGCTTCGGTTGGAAGAATTGTCTCTATATAGTCATACACAACCAGTCATACTGCAACAGGTTAATTGAACTCTGAGCTTGTGTGCTACGCTACATCTTGACAGTGGACCATATTGTAGAACCGAGCTTGCCAACGTGATCAACTAACAAGCATGGAATAATTTGCCATTACTATATGGAATCATGATGCATTTTAAATTTTCAAACATTTACACGATAGTTACATAACCAGTTGGTTAGTTCGTCACAACTGAATCACTCATGCGTTGTACACGATAATTAGAGGGGCCTGTCCGGATCTGGTTAGCGCGCTGTCATCTGATCCCGTTAACCGCTCAGAGCCAGCGACCTGTATTCCAATGTAGACCGCACATCGACCCGGATTCTGTTTTTATCTTGTTATAAACCTCAGCGTGTATGGTCGATGGGCATCAATTGTGGTGTTGAACTCATTTCTTGCCTCGTCGTCGACGAATGATGTCCTTCACTGTGCGCCCTTGCTCTGTGTCGATAAATCAGACCAAAGTTACTTGAATATGGCGCAGGTGCGACCTCCAGCGCCAGGGCGCAGTACATCAGCCCATGGCTTTGAAAGCAAGCTCAGTCAACAATTAGCTCAGCCTCACCAAACCGATCTGGAGCACCAACCTGAACCGTCACGCTCTCCCAAGTCGCGTTCGTTATCTGATGCGTCCAGACCTACATCCTCCGGTCAACTATCCACTCAACCATCCACTGGTGATCTCAGTCGGGCACCAAGAAAAGACGATAATGCAATACCCGCGCTCCCTGCAACCCCTCGAAGATCAAGTGCATCTCATTCGAACCTCTCGCTAAACTTGCCTTCCAAACCCGCTGTATCGCCATCACTTGTGAACCTCGTCCCTCTTTCTCCTAAACTTGACCCATCACACATCTACGGATCTCCAGGATCTGTTCTCCCTCGACGATCTCGAGGCCTCGACTTTTCACGCGCATGTACGAACCTCCACCATTCCACCCTAGCCGAGTCTTCCCCGGATTCGTCTCCCACCGTTGGAGGGCGGGGTATGGCAATACCCCTGCGACGCGGATCACTTGGAGCGACATCCGTCCCACCCTTTTCAACATCGGGTCCGGCAGACCGCACAACAATCTCAAGTTCCATGTCGAGTGTGAATATGATGGAGTCGGACACAAGTAGTAGCGAGGAGGAAGACGAGTCGATGGCTGATCGCGACGATATTATGGTCAATACGCCGCAGGCGACTCGCCTTAGTGGGCCGAGTCCATTTGCTAGCAACATGCAGAGCCCGGGCAACGAGTGGATGGGAGGGTATTCACAAGCCGCTGCCAGCTTGATGAGTTTCCGACGCGCGCGCTTCCGCAAAGGCCGTAGTCGTCACAGCTCCAGCAGTGCGAGTGGAAACAGTACGAAGCCTAGTCCTACTCCTCACTCCCCGCCCATCATGAAGAGTGTGGAACACTCCGGTGGTTATTTTGCCCCACGACAGACTGTGTACTCACGCAGAGAGAGCCTCAGCTTTGGTACACGCGACCTGCGTTTGTCCGATATGAGTGACGATAGTGAGAGTCGCGCGACGCGGAGCGGAAGCCCAATTCTCGCTCCACACCCGGAAGGTGGCGGTCCACTGGGAGTAATCCGTCGCGCTGTTACCCGACGTGGGAGCTTACTTGTAAGTTGGTGCCTTTCTGATTCAGCGATCCAGAAGCTAACACCAGTGACAGCCCAAAACCAAGACCTTTGCGCGCATTCGTGCCGCTTTGATGGAGGAGGGTGCTCCAATTGATAGCGACATGAAACGGGAAGCAGAAGTGGTTCGGCAAGTCCGCGATACTGAGCCTGAATCAGCCCCTGCACTCGGGGAATTTCCATCGTTACAGCGCTCGACCTCGTTTGATTCGACGGCGACAGAAGAACCCGCGGTCAAAGCGGGAATGGACACAGCAACTACGGATACTTTTGGCAAACAAGTCAGTCGTAACTCGGGTGGCGTCGAGTTTTGGAACTTGTTTGATGGACGATACCGAACCCCACCCCCGATTCGCCAGGGGGGTCCCTCGTCTGTAGCAGATGAGGATATGTTTATGGATTTGACTCCGTCCACGACCATCGGCTCTGTTACCGCGGAATCCTTAAAGCAGCGTTCCCGCTCTTCCACTCCCCATGCCCCGGGTATGCCTAACATAGGGGAGATTTGTCGCAAGCGGCGTCGTGACGATGACTTCGATCCCAATCTTTTCAAGCGTCGGGCTGTCTCGCCCAGTGTGAGCGTTCAGAGCAGTCCCGTGATGACTCACTCCCACAATTTCAATGATATGGGTCCAAACCTTTGGGGTCCGCCGCCAAAGCCGGGTCTCGGTGCACCGTTCTCTGAACGACTGAGTTCTGAATCAGGCAATCGAACGATCTCTCATGCCGGAGGTGTCAAACGCGTCGGCCTGCAAGGGATGACCGAAGCCAGCGATGGCTTCATGAATATGAGCATTGATTGAAAGGAGCTTTTGAATTTGCGAAGCGGAATTTTGACATTCTTATGCGCTCTCGGGGTCACGGGCATTTTGTTTTCTCTGTGGGGGTTTTGAAGAGCATGGTGTTATTTGGATATGGATATTTCAAGCAAGATATACATTCGTTGTTCTAGCGTTCCTCGGATACCTCATAGCACATCATTTAATGCATGATTTCACTTTACGGAATGTTAGTTGATGTCTATGTTGTATGCGTACGTTGTCCCTGGATGTGTTGCAGGCCACGTGCCTATCGCTCTCCGCCTCCGACAGCTCTCTTTCTCTCCGCAGAGACTCCAGACAATTACCACTTCCAAGCTACCTCCAGTACTTCTCTCAAGGACTTTGACTGCGTCTGAACCTCTTCTTCAATATTGAATACCCGGATCTTTTTCTACGCTATGGCTTCCACCGTTGAACTGGCATCCTCCTTCATCGAGGGTGCCCCGCCCGGAGAGGTATGCACGTCAACAATGATCCAGGATCCCCCACTCCCCTGGTCATCGTCCTCCTAAAGCTTGATGTTTGATTGCTAATACGTTTCTCTTCAGCTCGCAGATGTTGTCGCCGGTAACTTGTCCTCTTAGCGCTACGCTGCATATCCCAGTCCCCGCAACTCCGATCCTTGCACGAACGGTGATGCTGACCTCTACTACTTGATTAGATGTGCAAGCCCTAACTTCCGAGGGCGAAGATATTATTCCCTCTCTTCTTCCTGCATTCAAACGGTACAACGAGACGCAGCTTGCAACAGTGAAACTGCCGGGATCAAGTCAGGAGGTGGGGTTCTCTCGAGTGTGGCCTCTGCCTGTGGTAAAGCTAACATTTTCACTGGGAAGGTCGTTGTTAGTGGATTTAACGAGCTCGAAGACAATCGCTACTTTGACCCGGAAAGCCAAACCTCGTTCGAGGTCGACCACACCACACAGGTAGGTTTCATCTGACCAACTGGGGCGGTATATTGAAGGCTTACGGGCTTGCACCGTGTCAATAGACTGCGTCTGAGGCACAATCATACGCATTGGAGTCAGAGCACGCGGAATTGATGTAAGAGATGATCTCGGTTCAAGTCCTAGTGGTATTCCGCTTACCGCATTTAGCAAATCGCTGCTCAAGTCGTTCGGTGTTCATGCCCGTGAACACTATCCCAACTCCTCGTACGGTGTCTATCCCATTGAAAATGACTCTGCTGTCGCCATCGTCTTGGTCGCTAACCGATACTCCCCGAACAACTTCTGGTGGGTGATTACAATTTCTTCAAACAACACCTTGGATGGAAACTCATCTTTGTGGGCGCTTCTCCATCTGGAGAGGATTGTCTGTTCTATCACAATAGGAACGGTCGTTTCCGCGCAATTTACCAATTTCCCGTCTCCTCCTCGTCCTCTACCCTGACTGGTAACATCCACGTTGACGTGCACTACTACGAAGATGGCAACGTGGCCCTCAACGCTACTAAGCCCATCAACATTTCCATCCCCTCCGTGTCGGCCGAGTCGATTGTCTCGCGGGTTGCTGCGGCGGAGCGCGATTACCAGGAAACGCTGAACCGGGCCTTCGTTCAAACATCCGAGGGCGTGTTCAAGGGCCTCCGGAGGCAGCTTCCCATTACGCGACAGAAAGTGGAATGGGAGAAGGTCGGTGGATATCGTCTAGGACAGGATATCTCGGGCGGCAAAGGGCGTTAGACCAGACTCGGAAATCTTGTCGAGTGGGCGGTCTAATGAACCCGCTCGCGGTGAATAGCTGGTGGACTGACCTATCCCTACTATTTTGCAAGCATTGTCTCATTTTGCGTGTCAAATTTTTCATTTTCATGGTTTGCGAAGATAGTATCCTATATAGCTTTTTTTTTTTAAAGCGGCGCTGGACCTGCCGCTCTATATAAATCTCCGACATACAACTACCAGCCAACTTCAATGATGCGCCGGGTACCCTGAATGAACCACTCTGGCCGAAAATTGAGATCTGATTACACGAAAAGTAATACAGATACACTCATGAATTCCTTTTCGAGCATGCAAAGGCTAGGCTTAATAAGCAAAATTACTAGTGCAGGTGAGATTAGCCGGCTTCCAAGCCCTCGACACACGAGTCTCACCCCTATCCCTTAAGAGTAAATTGTCCTCAGAGCTTGTAGCAGTGTTGTAACGATGATCCAACAATTTTGTCGCTTTGTCAAATCGGGCGCTGGTCTTGAAAAGACCCTTCGTCTGATTCAATGCACGTCGCAGGTTGTTGCTGCACTCACTATGAGCAGTGCCCTGGCCATGCAATTGACCACGGTCAAACTGCAATTGGCATTGAGTAAGTTGATCTCCATCCACGAACAGCTATACCCCCCGCTTGACTGTCATGTGCTGATACTGGAGCTGTTGCGCAGCGCGGAGATATTTTCGCTTCTTTGGGTTTATTGACTCGTTCCAGCGCATGTCTATGTTGTTGGGCAAAGATGGATTCAATTCTGTGGCTGGGATGCTCGAACTAGCTAAATGCGCTTGCTTTGGCCTTTACTTAGTCCTGGAAGACCTGACCATGGTATGATTTAAACTGCCGGTTTTTTCTCTCGTTCAACTGGACTGACGAAGGCTAGCTTCATGCAATGGGTGTCTACACAGTGCGCTGGCATGACCGTGTTATGGACCAGGCCAATACTTTCTGGTTCTATGCGCTCTTTTTCTCCGTTGCTGGAGCAATTTGGGCGCTGCTCGTCGGTCCTGCGGAGCAGCTTTCCAAGAAGAATGGCAAGAGAGAGAACCAGAAGACCACTTCTGAGAAGGCTACCTCGGTCCAACCAACGGCTGCCTCTGCCTGGGCCAAGCAGATCGTGGTGGATGGCTGTGATTCGCTCATCCCGCTGGAGCTTCTGGGCTGGATGCCCACCGGGGATGTGGTGGTTGGATCGACCATGGTATTGAGCACACTGCTGACTGCTCAAGAGATCTGGGTCTCAGTATGATTAAAATCTCGACATAGCGGCATTTGGTATCAGCTGATGTAGACATTAGACTTCATGATGTATAGATCATGAGACCCTGTCAACATATATGATGATTATGGACTGAACAAAAAAGAAACCCTACACCAATCACGAAGATTGATGCAATGGAGGATGCCTCGTAGAGAGGCCTCTCTCTACAACATTCGAGGCAAGGCCAAAAAATTGGACTCGCGGGGAATCGAACCCCGGACCACTCCCATGCTAAGGGAGTATTATACCACTAAACCACAAGCCCATTTTGATGACAAACCTGTTCTTCAAGTTGTTTATGATCCTTTTGGAAACAACAAAGGGCTGGGATTTAACTTGGAAGTGCCAGTGCTACAAAGAATGGATCCGGCTTGACTGGAACATCTCATTAGGAAGAGGGTCGGCATCAACAGATTGGAGATCGAAGCCACCGCAGTCCGTAGTTCCTGCACTCAAGGCGTAAGCTGTTTCGTTGACAAGGGGATCTATAGTAGTCTTCTGTATTCGTGGCATGGGCTGTTTCTTCGACACGGAAGGCATTGGGGTGAAAGGGCTTGCTGATCGGGATTGTGAGCCCGAGAGATTCATTGTTAAGCCGACTAAACTGGCAGTGAGAGGCCCCATCTAAATTATCTATACGTAGTGTAGTTCAGTCAGGGTCATCCAAAACCAAATCAGACTGACAATGACCACTACCACCATTCTCAATCCTAAAGGAAATGGAGGTTCACTTCCCTTCCTTGTCCATAAGATCCAACAGTAATAAGAGAACATCCATCGAGAGTCCATCCTCTTTTTTCCCGTAACGCATATTAACCATGATTGCATCGGTTTTCGCGCTTTTCGTCTCCCACTTCTTGTGACATTCCTGGGGAAGTGATTGTCGCTGGGAAATGGATCTCCCGCATCATGCGCGTTTTGGATGCGCCGGGAGGTAAACTGTCGGGTTTGGAATTTGCCAGCGAAAAGAGCAGACGGGCAGAAAGACAACTTGATTGTGTTTAGTGCAGTGGACGAAGAGAAGGAAAAGACCAAAGAGGCTCTGGGCCATAAATCTGTACGGCTAGTTGGCGGAGAGGTTTCTCGGACACCCGGCACGTCGCGGTCTTCTGCGAGCGAAGGGGGGGGGGGGGGGGGGGCGAATTGCAGATTGATAAAGCAGCATTACAATCCCTTGAACTGGACGAGACAGTTGTTGCAACGTGTTTGATAATAACGAAGGGGATTGATCGCGGGAGCTGGTGGCAGTTGAGATTTATGAAAGCATAGAGCGTCTATGTATAGTTATCTCAAGACTAGCATCTACTTTCTCTCGCATCTTTTGGATGTCTTGTTGGTTTTTTTTTTTCGATGCTTCAAAAGCACAAGTCTTCCAATTGCTTGGGGCGCCAGCCCCTCAATTGGCCTTGCGCTCATTCAACAATGCAGAAATGTGGCCATTGAGCCAGTACCCATTCAACTTGTCGGTGGGCATGGTCTTGGCCCCAGAGATCCAGCCTTTGCAGATTTTGGCACCTGCCCCGCAGGTACACTGGAATGCCTGGCCCATATCCCACTCGGTGCTGGGGTAGAAGAAAGTGAGGGCATCACCTGCCTTCAAAGGCTGGCCGTCTACAACCCGCACCTCCATGCGACTCATGTCGAAGACCAAAGATGGTGCACATGAGTGATTGCAGTAGACTAGATCGGAGTTGAGTTCGATGTGGGTATCGGGGCCGGTTTGCACGCTCGTGTAGGCTTTCTTTCCCGGAGTTGCCGTAGTGATCTTGGCGAAGACGGCACCCGCAGGAAGATCGATCAGTGAATAAGCCCCGCTTGCAAATGCTTTCGTACTGCGTTCCACGCGCAGGCATTCCGGATGGGTCGGAGGAGAGAAGTTGGCAAAGGTCGTCACGGAAATGGGATCAGCGGATGGGGCCATACTAACGGAAGTATGGAGTGAGAAGGGGAGAGGGTATAAGAGGATACGACGATAAGGGGATAGGAGAATAGGAAATCTATTGGAGACAAATGAGATGAAAGTGAAATCCGTGAGGTTTTATTCAAAGTAAAGATGCTGTAGAGAGCATCCCACATTGCTCCCTTCAACCGAGGTCTTTCCGCTCGGAGGACCGAGGCACAGGCCTGAACCACAATTTGTTGTCTCTAAGAGTCTTTCTTGTACGGAGTCGAAGTTGAGACATTCAGATTCGCGTGAACAGTTAGCCGGTGACACGTATTCGTCATTCGGTGAGAACATGCACAACATGACCACATTCTCGGCTTCATACTCGAAAGGGGAATTGGGGTAAAAAGTACGGAGTACCCTGCACCGTTTACGCACGTCGACGATTTAAGAAGCTGGAAATGCTAGCCCACACATACACACACTCTTCTCGGGAATCCCGACACTCTCGGCATGTTCCTGATCTGTATACTGCATACTGGTGCAAGATTCTTTTTTTCCCCCCTCCCTTACATTGAACTTAGTATCCCTCTCTATAGATCTTTAATTTGTATGTCCATTGTCTATTTTAGATCAGTTCATCTTACGGAGTAACTCTTGTCCATTCAACCAGCGTTCCAAATTCTCGGCTGTTTCACGATACCACCCCCGCAATAGTTCCTCCTCTCCATATCCCATGTGGGGGGAAAGCAGAACTTCACTACGTCCATCTTGTCCCCAAGGAGTAGTCCGCCATGGGCTATCAAGAGGTAATGGTTCCAGATCAAAGACATCTAACGCGGCGCCAAGAATCCGGCCCGCATTCAAGGCATCGAGGAGGGCCTGCTCCTCAATCAACGGCCCACGTGAAGTATTGATGATAAATGCAGATGATCGCATGTTTGCGATTTCAGTTACGCCCACAATTCCACGGCTTCGATCCGATAACACACTGTGTACACTGACAATATCGGCGTGTGTGAAGAATTCCTCTTTGGACGCAGCGACGGCAAATGTGCCCGCTGGTAGACCCTGAGCGTGCGCTTGCTCATCGGCCTGTTCCTGTGTCAAGTTTGTTGACCATGCAAGAACCTTCATCCCAAAAGCTAGAGCGCCAATATTTCCTACTTGTGACCCGAGTTTTCCCAAGCCAAGCAACCCCAGGGTCTTCCCAGACAAGTTGATCCCAAGGGAACCTTGCCATGCGCCACGTTTGACAGCTACATCGTCGCGCGCTATATGTCGAGCAAGTCCCAAGATCAAAGCCCAGGTATGCTGAACCGTCGAATTAACGCCAGGGGGGCGGCCCTCAGTGCCTACGACGGCCACATTGGAACGCGTGAATGCCTCTAGATCCAGCGCCAGGTTGCGGGTACCCGTGGTCAAAAGAAGTTTCAGATTTGGGAGCGCCGCAATTGTCTTAGCTGCAAAAGGAGTTCGCTCGCGCATCGCCAAGATAATATCGAAGGGAAGGAGTCGTTGGACAAGAGCATCGTGTTGTGCAGGATCGCGGGGATCGAGGGTTTCGGGAAAACTAAAAATGTCAACTCGCGACGCGAGGTGAGTGAAATAGGCAGGTGCAATGCCCTGGTAATCATCAAGAATTGCAAACTTGAGGTCAGTCATTGTTAAAGATGACTTTGATCAATACCTGTGAAACAGGGAGGGGAAAGACAGCCCAGTGGGGAAGTGATCAATTCCTCTGGGGAACTGACATGCCCGGCAGTCCGGTTATCCACTCAACAGTACATTGACAGACTAGAGATGCCAAATAAAAACATACCTATTGGAAACCTATCCGGACTTCAAACCTATCCCGATTTAGCAAATGTGCCTTATATAGCTATTCATTGTTATCTTGCTTTATAAAAAAAAGTAACCAGACATGTGTGAAGCGCGTATTCCTTATGGTGAAACTGGATCCCTCATCATCAGGAAAAAGGACTCTTTCCCAACACCACCGAATCGTGTATAATCCATAGTCACCTCCTCTTTTACCTTCCACCCGTGCTTGAGGTAGATGGGGACTCCTTCCGGGGTACCTTCGAGGAAGATGCGCGACTGGGAGGCATCTGCCTTTTCCATGCCCCATTTCAAGACAGCGGAGCCAAAACCTCTCCCTTGATGTTTTGGTAGGGTTGCTAGCAGATCGAGGACTGATGAACCATTTGAGCAAAAATTTCCTGTCGGGAATGTGAGGGCCACTAACTGATGTCGTGCTCTGTAGTGTATCGCTTCCGACCATCCCCTAGGAGCTTCTTAAAGGCATTCAAAACCTCCTCATTCATTGGTCGGGGTGCATGTGGAATGGGGTCCTTGGCCAAAGAGGCCGCCTTTTCACTTAAAGTAACCAGGCTCGGGCCAAATGATGCTGGAAAATGCCAACGGCTGTAGGTCGCCAGCTCCCCACTGACTGGATCATGGATTTTGAGGACATGCATATTGGGGTTGGCAAGATGTTTCATTCCCACGAGAATTTTGTATTCCTGCATCCTGGTGAAGCTGGCCTCCGGGAAAAGTTCTTCGAGGAGACGGCGGCCTTGGAAGCTTTGGACGTTGACTTTGGCAAGTCCTGGTCCATCGACCTCGGTGGCATATTCGATGAGCCTCATGGTTCTTTTCAAGAGATTAGAGGAACACACGGAAAGTGGAGGACACAGAGATTACCTAGAGGTCATATGGAGGCTCGAAGACGATGTATGTTATAAAGAGTGAGTCAAGGGACACTAATCCTCTTTAGTACCCCGGGTTCCCCGACCATGTACCATTTACAACATCAACCCTCTTCGATTTATAAGAAGTTGGAAATGATCATTCTTTTGGTGAGAGAGAGATTAGAAGACCAAGTGGAGAGTGTTTTCGGTCTATGTCAGTGATCAAGATTTTTGGAGGGGAACTGAGAGTCTGTTTATGCATTTCCTGAGCTTCATGTAGTTGCAACCTCGAGGACATCATACAGTAGTGACGTTGTATAACTAGTGAAAAAATGAGGGCCGATTTCTCTCATTCTGCTTCAGGCCTATACAATGTAGATCAGTGCTTATAGATCAGTGCTTATAGATCAGTGCTCATAGATCAGTTCCTGTTATTTTCCATGTTTCGATGCTTCCCGCGGCTCAGGGGAACTTGCTCTGTGGAAGAGGAGAGGAATCGAACCTATCAGATTGATTGGAGATTGGGCGATTGAAATTTGAGCCTTTATTAAACACTTTCCATCGGGTGAGAGACCTCACTGTAAATCGTTACTTGCCGATATAATCGACTGCCGAGGAAATGCAAAGTAAACCCTAAGAGCCTCAAGATAAGCCCGAGGAAACAAGGATAATCAAGTAGGAATACATCAAGTGTGTCAAGATTGAGATAGTATAGAAAAATACTCGGTTTGATAGAAAAGAAACGTACGCAGAATGACAACTCTTTCGGCCATCAGCGCTTCGCCTATGTAAGCGAAAGTAACCCCGGGGATGGGTTAAGCTCTTCCTCCCCCACTTTTCACATCTTTCTTTCTTCAACAATACAAAAGTACAGTACGATGTATATGTGCTTGCTTCAATGACCATCGGTGGATGTGGGAAATGGATAGCTCAAGTGACCCCCGACCATGAGCACATCTGGAAATAAGGATTTCCGCGATCAGCTGGGAAAATTCCGCTTGGATTCGATTAATACTTATACCCCAACCTGGCCTCAAGCACCTCCTGTTCATCATGAGTCTATAGATGTCTCGAGCCATACTCGCAGTAAACGAGTATCAACAGCCTGTGACTTTTGTCGCAAAAGGAAGAAGAAATGTGACTTTCGATACCCCAATTGTTCCGCCTGCACCCGTGCCGGAGTCCGATGCACCATACCCCCACCCGGTCCTCAAATCGCTAGCGCCTCTGTTCCCCGAGATCAACTGGAGAATCTGCAGAAACGAGTAAGATGGCTAGAGGAGGTCGTACGCCGCAAGTCCGGCCTCTCTGTGGCGGAATTGCCGACGGGGACACCAGTCGACAGCGAGGGAGATCCGGATTGGTGGTATCAGGTACCCGCTATGATTGCGACCGTGGGTAATCGTCCTACCTCAATGCCGAGCCCTGCCGACAGTGGTGGTTCTTCTGTGACGGCAGGACCCTCGCAGGCATCAACGGGAGTAGGCACCGAACTCCCTAACATCGGCGAGATCTTTCGCGATCAGCTGGAGCATCGCCGGCCGTCGGTCGCACGACCTTCCTCCGCGCCGAGAATCATGCGATTGTCGTCGTTAGAGGAAGCGGAAAGGCTAGCCGGACAATATTTCGATAGTGTGGGATACCAATACCCCTTCTTGTCTCGACCGGAGTTTATGGCCAACCTGCGACATATCTATACTGGTGGTGTTCCGTCGCCAGAAATGCATTACTCTTATCACATCATCATCGCCATTTCGCTTCTGATTGGGTCTGCGAACCCGAACCAGGCAGCTGAATTTTACCATGCCAGCCAGGAGACGCTCCCACTGGCACTGCAAAATGAAGACTTGCCGGCAGTGCGGGCACTGCTGGGATTGGCCTTGTATACCATGTTTGCGACGGCTGGCCCCAGCATTTGGCACGTATTGGGTGCGGCAATGAGATTGTCGATTAGTATGGGTTTGCACAAAACACGTTCGTATCCTAGCATTGCCGAGGAAGAGATGGCCAAGCGTGCTTTTTGGAGTCTTTACAACCTGGATCGCCTCATCGCTAGCACCTTGGGTCGGCCACTTGGGATTGCCGACGACGATATTAGCGTGGGTCTTCTGCGGGAACTCAATGACGATGAAACCGAAGCACCTGGCGCCAGCACGATGACGATTCCCTTGCAGGTGACGCGTCTGCGGCGGATTTTTTCGCGCATCTATCAATACTGTAAGTAGAATCTTGCCTCTCGTCTACGTTTTCTTTTCCTTTGACTGTTTCGCCTGTAGTATATAGCAGCCTGCCACGACTATCACCCCAAGAAGCGACCGCCACGCTGGATCGATTCCGCCATGAGGTTGATGACTGGCGCATGACGGCCCCAGTATATCCATCCGCACTTCTCTACTCGACCTCTTATTACGATTATCTCTATTACACAACCCTTCTCTTGATGTACCGCCCCAGCCCTCGTAATCCGACTCCTGACACAACCAGTATCATTAGCTGTGGCGAATCTAGTATCCAAGTCATTCTATCATATTGGGACAGCTATTCGGCCGGCAAGCTGAAATGGATCTGGTTAACACTGAGTCAAGTTTACTTCGCGGGTATCACCATTCTGTGGTGCCTTGAGCAGAATGCGCGCTCGTCACGCGAGTCTCAGCCTGCGCCTTGGCACCCCGAAGAACAGAAGATACGACGTGGTATTCAGGCTGTTGTTGTACTCCTGGATGAATTCGGCAAGCGCCGGCCTGGGGTGGACCGGTTGGCAGAGACATTCCGACACCAGACCACCGTGATCTTCAGCCAAATGGCTTATCAGCAACAGCAATTAGAACAGCAGCCACATCACCATTACCCACGACATCAACCGCAACTACACCCACCGCCTCCACCACCTGCACTCCTTCCACCACATCCACTGTCTTTGGCCGCACCCCCTCCGCTTCCAGTCCCACTCGCTCCCGTTCTCGACGACGTGTTACTCGTGGATGGTAGTGGGACTGTCCCGATTATCGATCCACAGATGGCGGAACAACTCTTCTACTCCTATAATTGGTTCCAAGAGGAGATGGCATCCTACTATACTCTTTGAACGAATATCTTTCTCTGTATTCAAACCGTGCTTCTCTCGAAGGTAGACGGAGTTTTCTATCGGGTCAGGCTTTTTTTTTTTTCCATGTTCAAACTTTGCGAGTTTTGTCACAATCCAGCACAGACTAGACTCATCAGATTAAGAAACATTTCGGTATCTGTGATCTAATCTTTAGTTATAGAGTTCATGGTCAGACATCTAAGACAGAGATGAAGATGGATCTGAACCAACAATTATGGCTCCCAGTTAATCGAGAGAAATAAAGTCTTTAAATTTGAGGCATAGGACGCTGATTCGTGGATGTCTGCTAGAATACTAAGGACTGTCACAATCACAGGTTGTTTCTGGACGTTCAGGCTCTGTGCAAGTGGACAGCAAATGCCGATTATTAATGCCCCTCTCAACTCCAGCGCTCTTCCAACTTCATCACCATTCTAAATTCTACAGAACTATAAATAATTATCGATTATCGTTGCTTCACCGTCTTGTGTATCATGAAAGAACTAGACAAGAACACCAACCCGGCTTCTGGGCTGCCCCTCGCCTTTCACGGCACGGTAATCCATTCTCGAAGTCTGGACGAGCTTGAGATCTTAGAGAATTGCATTTTGATTGTGGGAACCGATGGCAAAATCCAAAAATTACAAGCAAATGTGGAATTGGATCAGATCAATTCCGTTGTCTCAGAAAATGGCCATGTGCCCGATGTCTTCCCAGTGAAATATCTCAAGCGTGGGGAATTCCTTTGCCCCGGCTTTGTTGATACGCACAACCATGCACCTCAGTGGGCACAGCGTGGTGTCGGAAGAGGGATTTCCTTGCTCGACTGGTTGAATAAGGTCACTTTTGCACATGAGGCCAAGTTCCAAGATCCGGAATATGCCAAACGCATGTACGCCTCTTGCGTGACGGGATTCTTGCAACAGGGCATTACCACCGCATCATATTACGGCTCAAATCATGGACAGGCATCTCGAATTTTGGCTGATGTCTGCTTTGAAAAAGGACAGCGCGCTCTGGTGGGCAAGTGCAACATGAATCGGAATGCCCCGGACTGGTATCGGGATCCATCGGTGTCCGACTCACTACACGAAACACGTGAGCTCATTCACCATATTCAGAAACTTGATCCAGCATACCATTTGATTAGACCAATCCTAACGCCACGCTTTGCGATATCTTGTGAGCCGGAATTGTTGGACGGGATTGGTGCCATCGCCCGTGAACATCCCGATCTTCCAATACAAACCCATTTCAATGAAGCAAAACAGGAGATCGAGTTCACGCGTCAGCTCTTTCCAGATTTTGATACGGAAGCTGATCTCTATCAGCGATATGGTCTGTTGAATGATCGATCCATTCTTGCCCACTGTATCTTTCTACAAGAAGGAGAGATGCGCCGCATCCAGCAGCTTGGCTGTGGGGTTGCCCACTGCCCAATTTCTAACACCACCATGCAGGATTTCATGGTAGCACCTGTGCGAGAGTATCTACGCCGCGGTATTAAGGTGGGCCTGGGTACCGATAGTGGTGGTGGCTACTCGTCATCCATACTGGATGCCATGAAACAGGCTTTCATTGTATCGAATGCGCAGCAGATGTTGACACAAGGACGGGACTCTGCACTTTCTTTGCGCGAGGGTTTCTTTCTCGCCACTATGGGTGGTGCGCAAGTGTGTGGTCTTGATGACCGAGTCGGTAACTTTGCAGTTGGCAAAGAGTTTGATGCACTCGAAGTTCATACCACTGATCTTGACCAACCGGGAGTGATGAGCCCAGTCGAAGATGAAGATACCATCCAGGAGATATTTGAGAAGTTTTTGATGACGGGGGATGATCGAAATATTGTCAAAGTCTATGTGAGCGGTCGATCGGTCAAAGTGTGATGATCAGCCTCAGGTTATGAGGAGAGGTGATACATCTATGAATTACACTCTGAGAATAAACGCCAATCCCCTCCCCCCTAGCCCAGTTGGCAGGGGTATCTGAAGGACTGTGTTCAACTCCTGTATACTCTAGGTGTTGTGTATTTATCTGGATATATAAAAGAGGCCACGTGCACACAACACCTATTAATTACGGCAATAGATGGAGGTAGAAAGACGCTAGTCACTCCCAAGTTCCCTTCGGGGGGCCAAAGTAGCCACACGCTGGCAAGCCCATGTAGGGCGTGCCTTTGCCGTCGGCTGTGGTTTTCGATACAGTATTTCCCCGCCAGCTCAACGAACCAGCTGGGAGAGTGGTGCAGAAGAATATGATTACGGTCGCGACTGCAACGCCGCAGTCTAGTGCGGCGGATAACACATAATCTGCAGACAATCAGTAAAATAAGCGAGGATGAAGGAGAAATGATTAACAAACTATATTTCGACCACCATGCGGGCTTGTGGCGACGGAGGATAGCGTTGAATATCAAGTTGACTATCCACCACGAGGAGAAGCTGATACCTGTAGCAGGTGGGACTTGGCTCATTGCACCGAAAGCGACAGGCCAGGATACATAGTTGGCAGCTTTCCAACGACGACCTAGAAGATAGGTAGTAATGACCACCGCAGGTCCAACTAGGAAAAACCAAAGCAAATTGCTATATATCTGCCCGGAAGAAAACAATCGGCCTGGGCCAACAGCACCTGGAAGAATGGTCAGCTGTATAACCGAGTAGCGCATCGACAATCTAATAGAACTCACCCCAAATGAGAGACGAAGAGTATGTAACCTTTCCGTGAGGACAGATGAAGTTTCCCTCGGCCTCAGGGGCGCACACGCCATCAATTCTGGTGATCATGAACACTGTCACACCACATTGAACGATAGCTCCGATGAGGGTGGCAAGGCCTTGGGTTACAACTGAAAGCTGTGGGGCGATGTGCATATAATGAGCCAACTTCATATCAGCGACAAATCTAATGCGCTGTTAATTCGTGTCAATTGTGTTTTGGAACATTATGCAACTCACTCGAGTCCTTGCTGGACGGCGACGTAGCCATCGAATTTGAAAGCCATGTTGGCCACTGGCTGTCCGAGAAAGGTATATCCGCCAACGAACTCCGTGAGCAGGTTGAGTTGATTACTGCTGATATTAGTGAGAGCTTTGAAGACTCCTACAGGGATAAAGTAGACGACTGGCAACACGAATGCCACCAGCACACCCCATGCCGGTAAGCCTGTGTGCCACATTTCGTTGGTCACAATGCTCAAGACAAACATCAGGACAGTTACTGCAGCAAACCACCACCAAGGTACGACCCGATATGACGACATCAGCCGACTATGGACATCGTGTTTACTGGTGCCCTTCCATTGTTGCCACAAGTCTTTGCCATGGTACAACGCGACGTGGAAGAAGATGCCCGTCAAATTAGCAAAGGCTACACCGAATGTGATTGCGTAGCCAGCCGGTAAAAACATGGGAGAATAGTTCCGATAAGCGCTTTGGTCAAAACTCCCGCCCGCGCCCATGATGCGACTGGTGTTATAAGGAATTCCTGTGTTATCGAAGGTGTTGGAGCTGAGCAGTGGCAGGTGTGCGGAACACCACGTGTTGGTATAATAAACGAGTGGGCACACTAGCCAAAAAAAGAGCGTAAATGATCCCATCACATTAAGGCCAGCCCAGAAGGGAACAAGTAGGGGGCTCTGATTGGCATAGACCACCTGGGCCCAGTCGAAGGTCAAGACCGACATCCCCAGTCCGGTGGTCTTTGTCCAAAGAGTTGATTCACCACTACATCGGATGGCACGATCCAGCAGATGAAGGCAAAGGTGCTGAGACCCGTAAAGAGATAACCCGGGACGAGGTACCAGATGGCGCCACAGATGAAAACATAGAGAAAGAAGCGAAGACGTGTGATCCGCCAGCCATCTGCGATAGTATCGGATTGAGAGTGGAGGGTGGTCAAAAGTGCTGCATTTGACAACACCTGCGGCCAAACCATCGATGCTGGGCCAACTAGCCAGCGCGAGGCCATGCCGGCTAAGCCAAATCCAAACAATTGCGTAGTAATACACAGTAGAACTTCAAATCCACCATGCGATGGCATGTTATAGAACTTGACAAGCGCTTCAATAACTTGAGTTGCAGCAGCAGAGCCAATGGAGACGTTGGCCATGATTGTGATCAAAGCCTTGATATTGAATTGCCGGTCGGGATTCAGCACTCCGAGGGGAATCCATTTCGCCCAGGCACATCCCAGAGGGAAGGCTAGCAATTGTGCTACGAGCGCACTGATATTCACACTGGGCTGTCATAAGCTGAAGAACTGGTTCAGTCCACTACCGACCTGTGCCGGTGGTCAGTGTTTTGTTGCCAATCCTTCAGTCACATTAATGATAAAAACATACGATAGTAAACACAATACCAATGGTCCACATGCGAACCGTGTTGACAGGTAGCGTCAAGTCATTGACTGGCTGGATTACAGCCCGCACCTCCGGGAAAGGCGAATCATCGGCTTCATAGGGCAGGATCTTCTCGGCATCCCGATCGTGAAGAGTGTAAATTCCATCTTGATCCGAGAGGGCGGTCTGAGATATGAAACGCTTTGTCAAATTACCAAGATATGTGGGGAGGATCAATCTCAAAACGGACACCCACCTGGCTCTTCTCAGCCCTTTCCATCATGAACCCGGTCCTCTGCAGGATCCTTGCCCCTAGGCTTCCCCTGAAGCAAGGGAGAAGAACCCAATTAGCCCCCAAATTAATGTTGAGTCGGCTTGAGCCGAATATTAGACCGATTGGGTACCGATGGCTGCATGAAGTGTTTCCAGATACGGAGTACGGAGTACTCTATACAGGGATGTCCACGGGTGAGCTAACAAAATCACCAATAGAGAAGGGGCATATGGGCATCTATCACATCACTATCTCCCCAGATTCCGTTCTATTGGATAGGAATGGGGTAAATGGATGTTGGAAGGAGAAAAAGTGACTTGACGAAGGATGCGACGTCGGAAGAAGCCGTTGTCGACCCACTTTATAATTGCCAAAGTAAGGTACAGCTTCGAATTTGTGTGAAATTCGTTCCTTTATCTGAAATCGTCGCATTAAATCGAAAAACTCGAAAAAAAAAACGTTTGAAACATACAAAGTAGAAATGCCACGTTGGAGGCTTAAAAGCTCGAAACCCTAAGAGGCTGAGGGTTTTCTCTCCCCCCCCCCCTTTCCTCTGTGTTTCCGGGAAATTTGAAGATATATTTACTCTTTACTCTAAGCCACCCCATATTGGTTGATTCGATTGCCTTGGAGTTATCCTAAAAGGGTGGTCCAGTTTTGGGAAACTTACGTAGGACCTCAGGCGAAGTGGTGATCTCACATCTCACCCGAACCTTGTACTCCCCTCCCCGCACGATGGGTGAATACGGCCGATCTAATACCAATGAGGTGCCTTTCTCCCAAAGACTCATTGTAATTCTTGGCGCGGGGATCATTGGTTGTGCGATTGCCCGGCAATTGCTGTTGAATGGATTCCCCGTGGTATTGGTGGCCGAATATCTACCGGGAGACAGGCATATTTACTATGCATCGGCGTGGGCAGGAGCGGCGTGGCATGCCGCTGGGGGCATTACTCCCGATTAACGGTACCTTCAAGCTGTCACACATCGTATCCTCCTCAAGATGGCACAAGATAGTCCCGAGGCAGGAGTGAGCATTGTCCACGCACGAGAGTACCTCGAACAAAAACCTACCCCTGACTCGGCGATCTGGGGTAAGACGGTACTCTCCAAGGTACCTTGTACTCCATAGAATTGCAGCTTGATCGACTCTAACATTATCCGTATTGTCTAGTTCCGTGAGATGAGTGCTGATGAATTTGCACCCAATTTCAATTGTGCCTGGGCATATGAAACGCTTGTCACAGATCCCACGAGACACATGCCTTATCTGAGGAGACAGGTTGAGTCTCTTGGGAGTCGCTTTATCCGCCAAAGGGTTGAATCTCTCCAGGAGTTGTATGAGATGTTTCCGGAATCACGAATATTTATTAATGCAAGCGGATGGGGCAGTAAAACCCTGACGGATGTGCAAGATGACAACTGTTTCCCGGAGCGAGGGCAGAATGTGTTTCTAGCCACTGATCAATGCAACACACTCCACTTCCGAAATGGCACGGAATATACCTATGTGATTCCTCGGCCTCTGTCAAACGGGGTGGTCCTCGGTGGAGTGAAGCAACAAGGCAACCTGTATGAAAATCCTATGAAAATCCTATGAAAATCCCAAACCTCTGGGTAATTCGTTTGAAGCTGACCTCTCCAGGTCACCTGAAGTCGACATGAAAATTGCAAGGGATGAGATTGCACGCGCGCATCGGTTGGCTCCTGAAATTGTTCCCGAACACCCGGCTGCAGATAAGGTGAGTTACATCATTGGAATCCGACCATCCCGAAAAGGAGGTTTTCCGTCTCGACTCGGAGCAAAAGGGTAGCCGGGTAGTGCTGTCAGCCTATGGGTTTGGGGGTGGTGGGTATACCTTTTCCTATGGGGTTGCAGCTGCGCTGGTCAAGATGGTGGAGAGGACTGAGCGTGAAAATGTGATCTTGTAGATAGAAGCCGATTCTCTTCACTGATGTGTATCCGTCTAGTGGACTTGTTAAGACTAAAACTGACGCACAACATTCATCCATGTACATATAAGTATCTAGTACGGAGTACACGCAAAGGACCCGAGTTATTGCCGTTCTAAGGTTGCCCCTCATTGTATTTTTGGATGAAACAGAGCATTACAAAGCACGTAGAGATGTACGTATGTCCACAGATCACTACGTATATTTTATATATACATATCTACATATCTACGTGCATCTGTGCATCTCCCGGGGAGTATACAAGATACCCTTGGATAGAGAGGAGAGAAGTTTAGAAAGTGTGAGGGATAGAGTATCCAACATGGCATTATTGTTTCTTCAAATTGTTATCACAGGTTTAATAGTTTCAATGATTTAATGCATCTTGTTTTCTTCTGTAATCCACCTTGGCCTGGAATTATTGGAAATTATTGGAATTACTGGAATTACTGGAATTACTGGAATTAATGGACAGCCGGTCATCTCTCCCGTCCACTCAACTTCTTCCTTGACTCTTCCTCAGCTTTTCTTCAAATCCCGGTTTCAAAAAGGATTCATCATCCTTATTCTTATCCCTACATCATTTCAAAATCGGACAAATCTTTTTGAATGACATCCTCACTTCCTCCCAGGCTGTTAGCAATATGCCTGTGGATCAGATGCTCCACCTGAGTATCGACTATCCTATGAACAATGTCGCTATGGTGATCACTCCTCCGGCTGAGGGTGACGTGAATATTGAGAGTAAAGACCTGAAACAGCCCATTGCGTCTGAATCTCTAAGTCGCATCTATCGATTTACACCGTGAGAACCCCTGTGAGATCTTGGGAAGGATTATCCCCCCTCCCAAAATTATTCCATTAACCTCTGTAACCTCCGCAGTAAACCCACTCTCGTATTAGACGGCGCCCTACGAATTGTCGAAGTGTCCAACAGTCATGTGGAAATCTTCAAGTGCCCACGAGACCAACTGTTGGCAACGAATGTATACGATCTTCCTCTCTCCATCCTCCCAGCCCCCGACATCGCCTCCCTGAGTGGTGCCCTCGGCACTGCCATATCAACTCGCGAAGTGCAGGTCATCAAGCGTGTTCATGTGGAATTAATCGACGCCTTCTTTTCACTCAATGTGACACCCATCTTTGAAGAAGACTCCCTGATTTACGTGCTCCTTGAAGCCCAGCGGACCGAACACCGACCGAACAGATCGAATTCCATGAGCGAACAGACCTATCTCAACGAAACCTACAAAATCTTGGTCGACACGGTGAGGGATTATGCCATTTTCATGCTGGACACGCGCGGTCATATTGGAACATGGAATTCTGGCGCCGCCATCTTGAAGGGGTACACATCATCCGAGATCATCGGCCAACATTTCTCCGTCTTTTACGGTCGCGCTGACTGCGAAATGAAAAAGCCCACCCGCGAGCTGGAGGTCTGTTTACAAGAAGGAAAAGTTGAGGATGAGGGCTGGCGTTACCGCAAGGATGGCACCCGGTTTTGGGCCAATGTCATGATCACCGCCATCTATCAGAATGGCAGCCATGTGGGATTCGTGAAAGTTACCCGCGACATGACCGAACGCCGAGCCACAGAGGCCCGTTTGATTGACGCGTTTGAGGAATCTGCCAAGCTAAAGTCTGACTTCTTGGCCAACATGTCCCACGAATTGCGCACCCCGATGAACGGAATGCTATTGGCTTTGACCATGCTACTGAGGACCGAATTAACTGATGACCAGCGGGAATTTGGGTGCATACTTGAAGACTCAACTTCGATCTTGCTGCAGGTCATTAATGATGTGCTAGATTATTCTAAGCTATCATCGGGAACCTTCCCCTTAAACCCCGACGTTGTCAACATCCCCAACGTGATCTCTGCTGTGGTTCGCAATTGTCAATCGGCGCTCAAGCCTGGTGTGCAAATCATGGGCGGTGTTAGCGAGGGATTTCCTTCAAATCTGAAAGGGGACCCGCTGCGATTCCGTCAAGTTCTCCAAAACATGGTCACCAACGCAGTCAAGTTCACTGAGAGTGGCTATGTTCGAGTTCATGCCGCTTATGCCATTGATGAAAAGGACCCTGATATGTATGTGATTTCCACGCAGGTAGTGGACACTGGTATCGGCGTACCTGAAGATGCCACGAGCACCCTTTTCACCCCCTTCACGCGATTCGCAGACACGGCCGCAAAAAGATACCAGGGTACTGGTCTTGGTCTTTCAATATGCAAGAGCTTGGCTGAATTGATGGATGGAGCGGTTGGATTCCACGCCAACCCCGACGGTCCTGGTAGCGTGTTCTGGATGACCGCTAAGATGGCTCGCCTCACCTCGCCAGTGTCTCCAGTGAAGCAGAGCTTGCGATCGGGCACGCCTGAGGCGTTGGATAATTCCGCATCGCTCCAGAAGATCGCGCCCCATAAACACATTCTTCTCGTTGAAGACAACAAAGTCAATCAACTTGTAATGTTAAAACTTCTCAGCAACTTGGGTTTCAAGCGTGTTGATGCTGCCTGGGACGGAGCGGAAGCAGTGCGTATGGTCAAGCAGAAGCCTTTGACCTATAGTGTGATTTTGATGGACATCAGCATGCCCGTCATGGACGGATTGACCGCCACAGAGCACATTCGACGGATGAAACTTGATGTGCCCATCCTCGCATTAACAGGCAATGCGCTCAAGGGAGATGCAGAGGCGTATCTGGCCAAGGGGATGAACGATTACATCGCTAAGCCCTTGCATCGGCAGCAGCTAGTGGATTTATTATGGAAATGGTGCGGACCCTGATTGGTTGTTCGCAAACTGAGAGGGAACGGTGCCCCCGAATATCAAATCGCCTTTATGAAGCCGTCTTTCGATGTGATCAAGGCACGGCAACTGAAATAGACCCGTGTCAGCGTCATGGACGAGAGATTGTGTGGTTGAACTGTCAGGTTGAGAATTTCCAACCACGTGTTCTGATCGATGCAGCAGAAGTGTCGCCATTTTCCCTTGAACCCTTTGGACAACAGTCCGCCAAAAGGACATTTGACAACCACGTCCTTGCAATGTTTTTGATTTCTGGGACGGTCACGACTTCTTCTACATTGAGATATCCGTTTCCCCGTTCCCCGTTCTCGTTTATCCGCTAATTATCCGCACCCGAATATTGACGGCAATGCCATCCGACATAATAAAGTTCCGCTCACACGATATGCCCCAAGAGCTACCCTATTCTTATGGCTTGCATGATTTACGCCTGGAGAAGACACATAAAACTGTGCTTCTGCTACCGACGTTACACTCATGCAGCCTTGGGTGGTCTTCTGAATCAACCCTTTAATGCCACTCATGGAATCATCCTCCATCTGTGGAGTTTAGGCAGTCGCGTAGTGGGTGGATAACAGGTGCCATGCAAGAATCGATGCAAGAATCGATGCAAGAATCATCCCCCGTAGTGTCCGTGGCGTTGGAATAGCAACCAATCGTTTTTAATCGTAAATGGATCCAAAGTATGCAGATTGCATAAGACTGGACTTTGACCATTTTTTCCTATCTGGGCAAGTATCCCCGCTAGTTTCGCTGTCTGGATTTCAAGAAAAAGATAATGCTTTACATTCACAGTACGGCTTTAAGCTGGGGCTTGATCTCAAACCAATCCAATTCCTCAATTCTTGTTTTTCACGGCATTTCATAACTTCGTCCAACACATGCGGGAAGTGTTACGTGGTGAATCAGGATCGTCGAGCTGATTTTGGCATCAAATCATGACGAGAAGAACCTGTGACAACGATTCGACGGAAGCGTTATTTTTTTTTTCTATGTTGTTTTATTTTATGATAATTTTTTTTCAAGAAATTGTCTCTCCACACTTCCACCAGACAGTCCTCGACGTCTTGTTGCTCAAGCCTTCTGCGTTGAATCATCCGATGGTTGCATTTTCATCGTCTAGTTGCGAGTCAATCCTTCAGGGGTACTTTTCTCCCGAGGTACAACGCTGAGAATGTTTTATTTTCGCATGAGGTCATGCATTTTCTTCCAATACAGCCTTTTTGTTATCTCGGACTGTAATTGCTCAGACCCCCGTTCGGAGGTTCAACGCCAATGGCCTGTGGACTCCGACGGACGACAAAGATACATGTTTCAAAATGTCTTGAATGTCGTTGACTTGAGGGGTTGTAGCAACGCCATTTTCGAAAAGTCGCCGAAGAACGCAACCCCCATTAGGGAGAAGTTATACTATCCGTGTCAATGATTCTCATACGGACCCCGTGTGACCTGCCTTCACCTTCCGAGGGATATCGATTGGGTTTGATCTTGTTGGATGAATGGCTCCGAGGAACTTCACCCCGATGTTCAATCCTCACCAAGATATTCGCAGGCTCAGACAATTCCATGAGACGCAAGATAAGCTCTGTCCTTACCCCGTTTGGTTTGCTGGGGTCCTTAGCATCATTCGACTGGCAGACTTTCCTCTTGGGTGATTTCAGTCCAATCGAATTAATTTCGACCCTAAAAGCCCTATCCAGGCCCACCCTACAGGAATGGAGATGCTATAAAAGTATGCCTTGTCCGCCGTGGGTCGTTTTGACTTGATTCGCAAGTTCGAAAGAGGGAAGCTGAACTGGCAAACTCTTGCGAATACCATTACCATGAAATCCTTCATCATTCTTTATGCCCTAGCGGCCAGTGTGATGGGGATACCAACGGCTCACGAATTTCAATTGCACGAGCGCCGTGATTCAATCCCAAAATCGTGGGTGGAAGGCAAGAAGCTCGATGGGAATGTGTCACTACCTGTGCGAATCGGGTTGACCCAGTCTAACCTGGACTATGGCCATGAGCTACTTATGGATTTGTATGAACTCACGCAATGGATACCCAACCGTCTGATACTGACATGGATTTGTCCAGGTCCAATCCCAACTCGAGCCGCTATGGACAGCACTTGTCTACCGATCAAGTGTACGACCTGTTTGCTCCGACTGAAAAGGCTGTGCATGATGTGCGTTCTTGGTTGGAGTCGGCTGGTATATCAAAAGACCGCATCACGCAGTCAACCAACAAGCAATGGATCCAACTTGACGCCGATGCCGAGGAGCTCGAGAATTTGCTGCACACAAAGTACTATGTCTACTCACATTCTGGAACGGGCCGATCGCACGTGGCTTGTCGCCAGTAAGGCTGTCATTTGGATTGGATCTACAGTCTCGCTGACCTCTGACCACAGATACTACCTGCCGACCTCCGTGCGTGAGCACATCGACTACATCACCCCTGGAATTTCTCTGCGGGAGGTGACTGGTGTCCGGAGATCGGCCGGTAAGCAGAAACGCTTCGTGGGTGGAATTCCCCCTATCCTGGAGCCGATCCCCCAACCCATTGAGAAACTGGTGAGCGAGGCTTCATCATTTTGCTCCCAAGCAATTACACCCCAATGCATTAAACGTCAGTGATCCGAACAAACTTACCCCCCCCCCCCTACTTAATATGCTGACAAGCCTACAGAGATGTATAACATCAGTGAGGGCCACTCTGCCACCAAAGGAAACGAATTAGGAATCTTTGAAAGCATCGGAGATGTCTACGCTCAAGAAGATTTAAACCTGTTCTTCTCGAACCTGTACAGGTATGTCGCCTTCTAGATCACCGTTCGTCAAGTTGATTGGAGGTTTGAACTGACTTTCCTGCAGGAAAATCCCCTACGGTACACACCCAACTCTCAAGTCAGTTGATGGTGGTAAAGCTCCTACAGACCTTTCCAATGCTGGGGCTGAATCCGATCTGGACTTCCAAATCTCCTACCCGATTATCTGGCCACAGAACTCCATTCTTTTCCAAACCGATGATATGCACTACGAGGATAATTACACCTTCAGTGGCTTCCTCAACACTTTCTTGGATGCGATTGACGGCTCGTATTGCAGTGCCCTCTCGCCTTTGGACCCTCCATACCCCGATCTGGCAGACGGAGGCTACAAGGGCTCCTTGCAATGTGGCGTGTACGACCCGCCGAAGGTCATCTCGATTTCCTATGGATCCGCCGAAGCAGACCTCCCCATTTCCTATCAGCGGCGACAATGTGCTGAATTTATGAAGCTGGGTACCATGGGAGTTTCAGTAGTAGTCGCGTCGGGTGATTCTGGTGTTGCCGGACGTGGGGGCGACCCAACCCCCAGCAACTGTCTTGGCCCAAATGGCAGAATCTTTGCTCCAGATTTCCCTGCCTCCTGCCCATACCTTACTGCGGTGGGAGCTACTGAAATCCCTACAGGTTCCTCGCCAAGAGATCACAAGGAGCAAGCCGTGACTAGGTTCCCCTCGGGGGGCGGCTTCAGCAACATTTACAAGGCGCCGGATTATCAGGCCCAGGCTGTTGCCGATTACTTTGACAGGGCCAAGCCCCCTTATCCATACTATCAGAGTGTGGACAACAGCAGCTTCGGTGAGAATAACGGTATCTACAACCGGATCGGACGTGCCTATCCAGATGTTTCTGCCATTGGAGACAAAATCGTCATCTACAATAAAGGAATGGCCGTGTCGATTGGTGGGACATCAGCTTCTGCGCCTGTATTTGCTGGAATCCTCACTCGTATCAACGAGGAGCGACTGACGGCTGGCAAGTCCACTGTTGGCTTTGTCAACCCTGTCCTATATGCTCATCCGGAGGCGTTCTTTGACGTGACCAAGGGCACAAACGAAGGATGCAAGACCGATGGCTTCTCTGCGACCGAGGGTTGGGATCCAGTGACCGGATTGGGTACCCCTAACTATCCCGAACTTTTGAGGGTTTTTATGGGCCAGTAGACTAGTTGAATGGAGGGCGATATCCGCTTTTGTGGACACATCCTAGAACAATACAGACTGAAAATTCGATGCAATTCGATGCAGGTTCTTTTGATAGGCACAAGGAACGGTGAGCTGATGCCACTGGCATGAACGACCAGTCTGAGCGGACTAGCATGGTCAGGATCTATCCGACAAGATTTGACGATAGAAACAATGAACTAGAGAGCAGAACTCTGCCGATCTTCGTACTTCTCTTACCACATTTACGTTCTATGAAGATATGACCGACAACATGCATGTTCCCGATCCCGCTCCGTCCATGTCGTTTATTTCTCTGTCTGAGGACGTCGATGCCACCCTACAGACATGTACTCAGCCGGTCACATACAAATGTGACTCGAAGTGACTCGAAGTGACTCGGACTCGGACTAGGATTCGGACTTTGGGGGAGAGTCACATACAGTGTCTTGTATCGATCAGATCGATTGGAAAATAATACCCTATCACAGGATGTAGAAAGCAAAATGGATACGAACAGACTGGTTGAGCTCCAGGTCAGCACCTGTTTCTATAATGTGAATTTCAAGATTGACCAAGACAAAAAGTTGAGGTTGTCAAGGCAATATCTCTCCATGGCGGGGTGGATCCAAAGGGTCGGGTTTTCCAGAGTTGACTCGAACGTCTTGTTTCTGAATGTACCTCGTTCAGATTCACCACTCCACAGGATCACAGATGAGCAATGCCTTCCCAGAAACCCAAAGTCCAAGTTCTCCTCTCCGTGGATTTCGATGCCGTCTCGGGCTTTCTAGGCACTGGTGCTTCGGATACAACGAATCTGGCCGATTACAGCAGTGGCTTTTTCGCAGCTCAAGTGGGCGTGCCACGCTTATTGCGCCTCTTTAAGAAACATGGAATTAGTTCCTCGGTGACTTGGTTTGTGCCCGGTCATTCAATGGAATCATTCCCACAAGAGACCACAGCCATTGTTCAGTCGGGCGCCGAAATCGGTTGCCATGGATATGCGCACGAGGGCACCAGTCAAATGACCGAATGTCAGGAGAGAGAAGTGATTGCCAAATGTGTACAGTTGGCAACCGCCTTGACCGGAAAGAAACCTCGAGGATGGAGGGCGCCATTGTATCAGTTGCGAACTCACACCATTCAAGTCTTGGAAGAGTTTGGATTTTTATACGGTCTGCTTACTTGGTTCATATGTGTCTCCCCAGAAACAAAAATAACTAAAATCAGACCAGATTCATCTCTGACGCATCATGATTCGTCGTTGTACTTCGTCCCTCGCATGTCAGAGCCTACGGCCATTGATTTTTCGCCTTCCAAGTCCGCTTCTGCGTGGATGAAGCCCCTCCCTGCCCCTGCAGCCAGAACTTCCCAGACTTTGGTTGAAATTCCGTGCAATTGGTATATGGAGGACATGACCCCACTTCAGTTCCTACCCGGCAGTCCGAATTCGCATGGCTTCGTCAGTCCGATCATCATTGAACAAAATTGGAGGGCGAGGTTTGAGTTCCTCTTCAATGAGGCTGTCGAAAAATCCCTTGAGGCAGATTCTGAGCCAGGTTTTGTCTTTCCTTTGGTCCTACACCCAGATACTAGTGGAATGGCTCATGTGGTTGGAATGATTGATCGAATGATTTCGTGGCTGAAAGAGCAGGGAGATGAGGTTGAATTTGTGACATTTGGCGATTGTGCGGCAGAATGGAAGAAGAATCAAGATTAGAATTCGATTCGTTCGATTCGATCGATTCGATCGAATGGGTTGACTTGCATCAAATCGATATCCATCAGTACATGGCATGCGAGAATTAGATTTGGCGGGGCTTAAAGACCCTCGCGACTCAGAGTTCTATGCATGAAGAATCTGGGGTTAAGATGGGAATCGGAATTCGATAGTCGTGAAGTGCAGGTGTTTGGAACAAAACTGAGTGGTGTCCCGTGCCAACTATTGAGTCCATGGCGCTTGATTCACAGCGGCGCGTCAACATTCGAACACCCAAAGTGACCGTTGACTTCGAGTTGAATGCAGTGGGTTCAATTGCTCAAAGCTCTAACTCGCCACTTTTCACATCTCAGAGAACTTGATCCCAATCTGAATCGAAGTCTTCCGCTATCTCTTGCACTGTTTCCAGAGCTGTCCAAATCCGGGACCGGAGAGCTCCTTGATGACTATCTTCAACAAGGGTGCCCTTGCACAACTGCCAGCTCCTCATTCGCTTCGCCGGTTGCCCGCCGTGGGTCTTCCCTTCTGTCTATCGGCTTCTCCTACGCTATTCAAAAAGCCATTGAAGCGTTGGGAGCATGCCACTGGTCAAGGCTCAATCCAGGCGATGGTGCAATCGGTTTGCGTTATGAATCAGAGGCGTTGAGGGATCTTCGTCGACGGCTTTCGTCCGAGGGAACTTGGACATGCTCCATGGATCCTGGAATACTAGTTACCATGATCATGCGTATACGAGATAGTGGACAAGGGTGATCAACGTTTTACGGAAAAAGTTATCTACGGTGCGTGTGAGAGCAGTAGGACTAAACCCAGGTCCCGCCGCGAAAGCCACGCACAATGCGGGGGAATACTCCATAGAGATAAGATGGGATATCTAGAAGTAAACACTAGACTCATCGAGATGGCTCTATGTCCTGAAGCTGATAGTTTCCCTGACTACCGCGTGAAATGAAGGGATGCGCAAGAGCCTCCTCATCATCCAATTGAGCAAAGCCATTCGGTCCCGCAAGATCAGCTTTGTCATAGGGAACGTCACATATGACCGACCGCAGCGGTGGATAGTAGCGGCGGTACGAGAACCAAGCTATTAGCATGCCCAAGAGTCCCCCACACGTCACATCATATACATCATGTCGATAATCGGCTAAGCGAGAGAGGGCAACCATTAAAGCACATAGTAATGGGGAAAACGCAAGTAAACAGCGTCCAAGATCCGTTCGAGGACGGAAGACATGCATTTGACCACACAAGAAGCTGGTCATTGTTAGATTGAGTGCCTGAGAACGGTACGTTTGAAGATTCACTTACAGATATAGATAGCCCAGACCACCAAAGGAAAAGCTGCTATGTCCACTAGGAAAGCTCCTCCACCCCTCTTGTAGAACGTGCTGGTTGGATTCAGTGCAGACGGTCCATGCGACCAGCGCATTGTTCGCTGTACCTCGGGATGGTTTGCAGCGCGATAACAAGTCCGGACGTGGTCTCCCCGCCGCATTTTTGATTACGTCCGTCAGGAACGATGTCAACATCAAAGCCACGAATAGCCCAAGTACTGTCACTTGCGTCTTTTGCACACCGACGCGAAAGATTGCGGACCAAGCGAGAATCACGAGGAAAGGAATCAGTCCAGCGAAGATGACCGACCACACTAAACTTCCCCGTTAGAATCAAGACAGACCGACTGTATCATTTGCAATTGACATACAAACAGGAACTCGTTCGTGGACCGCGAACGGGTACTGAATGGCTTTGTTATCCAGCGAAAACATGCGATGGAACGGGTTCACGAATATTTGGATCTATTCAGGCGTCAAAAACAAAATCATTTCCCCCTTAGATATCCATCATTAATCGTATTTGACGACTTACTAGTAGCCATCCTGCCACGAGAAACCCCAATGCGATGTAGTCGGCGGCATAGGTGCGTTGCGCAAAGCGGGCTGCAGCACCAGCGAGTCCAACGCGTTGTAGAATCGGAGACCCGTTCCCCGAACCATTGTGAGGCATCCTGCACAACTGCCGAGGACTTCAGAAAGGTCTTCAGATCTTCACCAGGAGCAGGTCGAGATTGAAAAGGGTCAAGTTGACATTCGACACATGGCCGAAGCACAGACCACGTTCCCGCCTCTCCCCGGTTTTTCACGAAGAGGAACTTTCCACTTTGCTTTTGCTCACCTTTTTCTCTTGGTTTTCTCACTTCGATTGTCTCCGTGTTGGTCGATATGGCCGACGAGAGCCAACAACGAGCCGTGAACACAGCATTTGCACCCCCGCCGCCCTTATGGAAACACTTTACGCGCGAGAATATCGACAGAGTGGAGCAGATCAAAGCTGAAGCTTCCAAGGGCGAAGATTCACCGTCGAATAGGAACAAGCAATGGTCCGCAGCCAAACTGCGCGCTCTGCAGCTCCCCTCAGAACTTCGGTACCTGGTGCCACCGGACATCCCTAAGGGACAATACAGCGTCTTTGGCGAATTGCAAACTGTTCGTTCCCCTACATCTGAGCTCTGCGCCTGACAAGACTGACAAGGCTGACTCTGAAACAGCTGTCGACAGCATTGCCATCATTACAAGAGCAAGGGATCGAACAGCTCTACCCAGAACCCCCCGCAGCCGGTATCGATCAGAACTTGCAACCCTCGCCCCCTCTCAATCACGCATACTACCTTCTCAAGATCAGCAAGTCTCTGCTCCTTAATTTCCTAGAATTTACCGGTATCTTGTCGGTCTCACCGGAACAATTTGAATCCAAGGTCGAAGACCTGCGCAACTTGTTCATCAATGCGCATCACCTTCTCAACCTCTACCGTCCCCACCAAGCCCGCGAATCACTCATCATGATGATGGAAGAGCAGCTCAACCACAGCCAAGAGGAAATGAAACAAATGGACAAAGTAAAAGCGGAGGTTGAAAGTATACTGGAGCAACTGCAAGCGGAGGGCAGCCGCGTGAGTGCCATTGGGTCAGAAGACGAAACCGACCAGGCCAAAGCGCTGAAAGAAAAGGCCGATGAGCACTCTCGGTTGATCTGGGACTTACTGGACAAAGAAATTTGAATCCAACAACGGGCTGGCTTGTCTGAAATTGAACGGCACTGCCTTCCCTGAGTCGAATAACTGGAATTTCCCTGCGCTATGTGTTCAACTGTCACACTGGATTCAAAGGTCAAACTCGTTCTTGAATCGCCCAACGTGGAAGAATCTCAACTCGAGGATTCATCAACATCCAACAATATCTCTCTCGGTTTCTCTATCCCAGGCGGATCATAGACACGCACGCTCACTAGGATGCTAAAGATGACGCCCTGATGAGTCGATTGAAGCATGGCGCGCTTCGCATCATCCCGAGGCAGCTTGTGGATCACATCAATATCTGGAAGACATTCTCTGATGTTCTCACGAGCTGCTACCACGAATGACACGTCGTTTCGGAACGTTAAACGAGCCGAAACCGGCTGCCTCAAACCCTCATTATATTCACTCCCGAAACCAGCAACATGCCAATTGTGCGTGAATCTCTGCCGGAAATTCTTGCTTGCCACAACAGACTGCAGATGTGAGATGTCATTATATTGAACACTGCTCTGACTATCGCAACCCAATGCAATCCAAATGACCGACTGGTCTTCTATCAAAATTAAAATATCTTCGTGAACTCTAAGTACCGTAGCCAATAAACCCCTCCCGCTAAATTGCAGCCAATGATATCGACCCATCAAACAATAGGAAGAAGGCAATGTACAATTCAATTAGAGGCTGCGCGCTGCTCCGCCCAGGCCTTGTCAATGGCACACTCGGCCAATCGCTTCAATTCCATAATGAAATCGGCGACCAATTTGAAGTGCACGAGCTCATTTACATTCAGTTTCCGTGAAAAGATTCGCTCAATCATGACCGTTGCGACTTTCAATCGGCCCAAGTCTTCGCGCGAATGTGGGTCCAGTGGGTTCTGGAGTATGCTGCAGAAGATGGTGAGCAGTGCAGACATAGGATAGAAGATCAAAGTCCTGAGACGCATTAGCTTGGGTTCCAGATAGCAGGACAAGAATCACATACCAAAAAACACCGTCAACCACCACATGCTCTGCCGCCTCGAGGTAACATAGACTTGATCGACTGGCCTCCACGGAAAGTGCCATACTGGAACTCACCCCATCCACCATACCACTTTGTCCTTGCATCCATGCCTTGCATCTTCCACTTGCTTGATGGATGATGGTCATGCATAAGTGATAGTTCAGACGCAGCATGACAGAGTGCATACCCATGTGTGGATCGGAGGTCTCGGAAGAAAAAGACATAGTTGGACGCCATCTAGGAGGGATCGATAGCCGCCATTCTTCTAGCGAGTCATCGAGTTCCCGGATTGACTTGAGCAGCTCGGCATCTGATTTTTGGAGACAGCTGACTGAATATAGCTCTCGGTGCGCTCGGGCTTTTATCAGACTCAGGCGCAAGTCGAATGGAAATACTGGACCGTACCATGGGGCCTCCTCGTTTTCCACGTCCAAGAATGCTCGATCGAGATAGCCCGGTGGAAGTGTCAACTCACAGTTTTCGTCGGTGATAGTAGGCGGCTGACCCGTACGCAGGGCAAGGTCTTTATCAAGCGTGTAGCAAATCCAGAATAGATTCCGTAGTTGTGAATGCTTTTGCTGGCTGCGCTCATCCGTCGAAATGATGCCGTGACCGCTAAAAAGATTGCCACCAAGCATGAAAATGAGTCGTGCGGCAACTGCCGCATAGTAGTTTGTTGCCCGCATGTTTCCACAAGATAGCTCGAAGAGAATCTGATGTATTCATGGTCAGTTACCGGACGTACACACCGGAGAGGCTCACTTACCAACATGGTAATAGCCTGCGCTGCATCCAGACTGGCAGGCTCTTGTAATACTTGAGGCATAAAGAACTGTGCCTTGGTGGCAAGCATATCGTAGTCGATTGGACTGACTGTAGTAGTAGTAGCCGAGTTGACAATGTCCTTGACATGAGGTAGGCGAGAAACAAAGGTAAGAAATGCAACGACACAAACTCTGGCGCTAGCTTGGCCATATTTGAGGGTATATTGCGATTGACTATAAGCTGTATTGAGGGTCTCCTCAAATAGCTCTGGGTCTATCACAGGAAAGATGCGCCGCATCACCTTGGAGCTCCTATATGCCTGGAAGTATAAATTCACGGTTCTCCAGTCGGGAAGTTCATAGGGATTGCAAGCGTTCACGTTCATGTTCATCAGGGCAGCGTTGAAGTTTTGTCCGCGTTCTTTATCCCAAGGTGCTCGAGTTGGACTAAGTTTGTCAATAGCTACGTGCTCTCCGGTGCGAGCTTTAATCCATTCCCGTCCCTCGGGAAAGAGGAACGGGGTGCCTGTGAGTAAACTGATAACCCCCAGCTCTTTACCCGCAAAGTGAACTCGCACCGACGATGAGTCTGGAAGCTGAGTGTTGCTTGGGGAGCTGCTGGCCGTCGTGTTGGCTTCAAAGGACCGAGGCGAGTCTTCAGGCACTTTTGCCAATTAGTCTCGGGATGCTCCTAGGTCTGCGTTTTGAAAAGACACTATACCAGAGATTTGATCACCCATATAGTTCTCTGCCAGAAGCTGCTCGATGCGACTAATTCGCTCCGATAGTCGTGAAACTTTAGGGCGTCTAATCTTCAACGTTAGACACGTAGAGGAATCAGCTCGAGGCACAGACTCACCCCTCCTCACTGGCAATTTTTCGTTTCCTCTGTACCACTCTGTCGAATGTGCAGGGAATATTATGATGACTGCACCAATTACACTGCGGAAGCGCAGCATCGCATTTGATCTGAGACCAGTTTAGCGACGGGATCGAGGGCTGATGAAGAACAAATCTACCTTTCTTTTGTAACAGGAATCACAGGCACGGGCAGTCCGTGTCCGCGGCTGATCATCCGAAGTACTAGATGCAGGATACATTGTATATTTGCTATGTCTTCAGGGAATCTGGAAATTAAGCTCAAAAGATTGCCGATGGCTGGCCCCGAGAGCCGCTGACAAAGTGACCGCTGACTCAGCCACACACTGCCTCAGGCACATCTATGAGTGAGACGTTGATAGAGAGATTTTATCTATCATTTGATAGAATATACCTAGGATTACTGAGATCAATGAGACAGCAAGTTAAAACAGAGTCATTAAATTATAACGCACTGGTGTACTCAGGATATCGCACGCGTACTCGACCATCAGAAACGGGAATGAAATCAAGCGCAGTATTCCCAATCCTCTTGGACCCTGATTCACACTGATTCCCCGTCAATATTCCTTGTCTCCACATGTTATCGGACCATCCACCACCGGAACTCCCAACCGGGAAAGAGTATTGAGGACGATTGAGATGAAGGACAGCCAGCTCACATCACAGTGCATACGCAGCAATCGCACTCTTCATCACCGCAGTCACAGCCAAAGCATGGCTTGGAGACTGCTTTGATAGGTTTTTTTTATAGAGCTACCGGAGCTGCTGGAAGGAAGGATGCCATTGAAAGGGGTTGGAAGAGAGGTGACGGCCATGGCGGAGAGCAGAGGCTTAGGTCTATTGGAGAGAGTCAGTCAAGTCCGAAAGAGAGAGAGATTGGTTTTGGAAACCAGAGAACGGCATACCTTCAGGCCAAGATAAAACAAGGGGGGTATAGGGCTGAAAGCAGTGGAGATTGGGGGGAATGAAGGGAAAAGTGAGAAAAGTAGGTCTAAGTAGGCAGCCATATATAATTTGTTCCCAGTTGAATTTTCATCACTCCCACGAGATAGCCCAATGATTAAATCGTTGGTCAAAATGGGGGAATGTTCTTAAGTTCTCCATCTCAAAATGGTCCATGCCACAGGAAAACAGTATAATATCAAGCCTTAGAACAATCATTTACATCAACTATATTTACTTAGGGTACAAAGACAGGATTCATGTTGGATGCTTCCCTTGGACTTATTTTAGTGCCAAGCGTCCAGATAGGAGTTATGAGTATTCCAATGCAGATTTGAGAACAAATCGAATAGCTCAAAAATTTTGCTCTCCAGGCATGACTTGTTTCTGTAACAACGTCATCATCCCATTCAGATAGTTAACTGTGACAGACGGAGGTTTTATCATGGCTGTAGTGCTTAAATTAAAGGTAAAGTCATTTATAATCCCCCTGGCGAGTGCAGTGCTAAACTGCATGCACAGCAGAAGCGGCCCATATCGAAACATAATTTCCTGACCCAGATCAACGAGATGATTTCTTATTCGTGTCAATGCCCGGAGGAGAAATTCATCGATGATTTCGACACAACTGAGATCTGCGACCCAGATGAATGAATTGCGTTCAAGGACAAACCCTGTACATCCATTCTTCCTAGGGCTTATGTATCATCCAGATACCTGGGCGCGTCTTAAAGAACCGAGAACCCCGCCTATGACCATATCTCTGGAATGACGGTGGTATCATACACATCTGCCAAGCAGCTCCAATTACTAGATGCCGTGGTGCGAGTATCAATAATATGTCATCCCGATGTCGCCATGCTCCTGAAGCGATACATACCCAAAGGTGGACTTGCTCTCCCAGAAGAAAGCCTCGTTCCTGCAGGGTGTATAGTTGGTATGAAACCCAACAATGTGGGGCGTAAGACGTCTGTCCGGGGTGAAGATACCGAAGAATTCCATCCGGAAACCTGGCTCCGCGATGAGACACGGGAGACCGAAGATGCATTCCATGAACCTTTGCCATCAATGAACAAGGTCGACCTCACTTTTGGCGTTGGATGCCGTAGTTATATCGAGAAACTTTTTGGTCTGCTGGAGGTGTACGGAGTGCAAGTGGATTCAACCGGAGAAGGATTGAATGACTCGTAATGGCTTCTGTGTGCGGCAGACGGGTATCAAGGTCAAGCTCAGTCACCGGATGTGAATTGTTACGATCTACGACAGGACAGGACGACAGAGGGGGTTCAGCAGCACAAGCAAGTAGACATTGTGCACAAAAATTCACAGTTGAAGATCAAAGCATGCAGTCATTGACAGTATATACAGCAGCAACTTTTGAGGGGTTTCATCAATCATCGCCGCAGTGACTGGGGTATCGTCTAGTCATCTCGGGCTTCCAAGCCATCCGTCTATCCATTAAATAAATCTTTTTGTGTTCATCAATCCATAATAGAGCAGCCGACTCACAGCTGCTCTACCCAGGGAGCGGCACCGGGCTGCATCTGGTTCAGCCACTTGACAAGCTCAATGAGCTCGGCCCGACGCTCATCCTCCAACTGATCCTCATCGCCGGTAAGAACTGACTGGAAGACAGGAAGGAGGCTGGGAGTTAGTTCGCGGATGGTGACATCTTCCCACTTGTACATCTGGCAAATCATGCGGTAAAGAGGCTCGTTTTCCTCGTAGTCGTTCTTGAGGGGGAGAATGTTAACAAGAGCAGGAAGAACATCCTTAGTGGGAACATTGTCGCGGTAACGCAAGATCATGCGGCTCACACAGCCAGTGGCATTATCCTGGAGACGCGAGACATCCATTTGAAGGCACGCCTCAAGGCGGGCAAGGATAGCGGGAATCTCCTTGATGATCTCAGCTTCAGCGTTGGAGTGCTGAATCAAGCGGCCAACAGCGTAGGCAGCGTTGGACTTGGTTTGAGAGTCCTCATCAGCGAGGCGGTGAAGGAGAAGCTTCAAGAAGACAGAGGTGAAAGGAGTAACGGCAGAGCCCATGCCGTTAATGCACTCAGCGAGAACACCGACAGCAGTTGCGCGCTCAAGAGACTCAGTGCTACCGGCGTAGCGCAGAATGGTCTTCTCGAACACCTTCCAAAGCTCCGCGAAGCTCTGACCCATGGCAGCGGCCATACCAGACACAACGTCTAGGGCAGTGTCGACGACAATCCAGTCAAACTCGGATGATTCCTCACCAGCCTCAAGGGTCTCCTCTTCAGGGCCAAACTCCACCTGGCAGATGTGCTGCTTGGTGATGATATCAGTGACCATTTGAATCACGTTGTGAAGCATGGTCTCGCTGGCAATGAGGGCGGGACCGCAGAACCGCAGGTTCTCAGCCATGTTGCGGTTGATATCGGCAACGGTAGAACTATTCATCGTCAGTCAGCAATCAAGTCATTTAATCGATAGTGATAAACAATGAGGCATTGATAGAAGTAGATCTCAGAGTGTAGACTTCGCCGTTTACATCAAGTACGCCTTTGGCGTATCAAAGTGAGCTGGGTTAAGCGGAAAAACATCATCATAGAAATGGGTGGGCATGGGAAGAAAGAAAAAAAACATGGGTGGAACATACCGGTCATCTTCTTCGGTCCACATCTTCACAGTGGCCGTCATGAGAATCTCACCGAACTTCTGTACCTCCTTTGCAGGCTGAACCTGAAGGGGGAGACCAGGCTGCCACTTAGGCATCTGACCATTCTCCTCAGCGATAGCAAAGAGCATGGCGTATGAGCGGTGCAGAGTGCTGATTGTGCTCTTGCGAACACCCTCGTAAGGGTGCTCACACAATGGCATTATGTGCTCAATGGTCTTCTCAAAGTAGGGCAAGAAGGCGCTGCGGGTGTGGGTGACAAGGTCACCGATGACCTCAACAGCGATTTCCTTTTCGAGAGAAAGGGGAGTAGTAGCGGTGATATCGTCCCATTCGTCCTCATCCTCAAGATCCACATCCTCGATGTCACCATCATCTTCATCGTCGGCACTTGCGACCTTGACCTTTCGGCCGTTGAAGGTAACTTCCTGGCCAACGAGGTCCTTGGCAGCACTGCCGAGGTCGACATCAAGGTCGTTTTCGTCCTGCTCAATACAGTCATACAGGCCCTTCACAACACCGTCAAGGAAAGGAGCGAAGTGCTCGCCGTAAACCTTAGCCATGGCACCCCAGAAGATGTATGTGCTCTCCTTGAGACGGGAGTGACCGAGGTGCAAAGCTTCCTCGGTGGTGCGCATGAGGGGCTCAACGTATGGTTGATAACGCTCGGGGCCAGCGGCAGCAGCCATCTCACCCATCGAGTCGGTGACACTGGCACGGAGGTCGAGTTCGTCCTCACTGTCCTTCACAGCAGCAAATTCTTGGAGGAGGTGCATCGACTCATCGAAGAATGGGAGGAAGGAGTCTCCGGCAGAGGAGGCAAGAGAGCCAAGAGCACCGGCAGCAAGGGCCTTGATCTTGAAATCAGGGTGCTTGAAGAGGTTGTGCAGGATAGGAACAAGCTCAGTCTGGTAGGGAGAAACATCCTTCTCATCCAAGCCATCAACGACAGCATCGATGGCACTGATACCAGCCTTGATGATGTCGAGTGTGGGACCTTCCTCTTCGCCCTTGTACTCTTGCATGGCGCTGGCCAGGTTCTGGAAGAGCAAGGGCATGAGGCGCGCGTGCTCAGAGCTGAGGTCTTCAGCGAGATCCTCTGCAAGACGAGCGACAGCATGCAACGAAGCTTGGCGCACCTTAGGGTCCTGATCAGCAAGGAGCTGGAGGACCATCGGGAATATCTCCTTCATCTGGGTACTGATGAAGTCGGGGGCACCCTCAACACACATGCCAAGGGCCATGATACCAGCGCGACGGTAGTCTGGGTCGGGGTTGTTGAAGTACTGACCCAGCGCATTGAGCAAGGGAACAACTACTTGGCTAGGAGGCAGGCTCTGGGAGAGCATATCCAGAAGGCCGAGAGCGGAACGGGCAGGAGTGATGTCATCATCACCAGGAGCGGCATCGCCCAGCTCAGTCACAATCTGGAGAGCGGTGCGGGTAAGCTCTTCGCCAATGCGCATGCCCTGAACCTTGAGCTTGCGGTACTGGATGGTCTGCATCAGGAAGCTGATAGCCTGAGTGCGGACATCCTCATCCACCTCGGTGTTGGCAGAGATCTGATTCATCAAAATGACAAGGTCCTTGAGATGGACGGTGAGCAGAGCAGGGTCACAACCAAGCAGAGTCTGGAAGACTTCGAACGCCTGCATGATGTGTTCCTCCTCTTCCTTTTCGATTGAGTCTTTGAGGACAGCGACCATAGCAGGAACCATCTCTTGGAAAGCCTTGACAGGAGCCTCATCCTCCTCCGAGTCAAGGTGCATCGCAAGCTTGCTTAAAGACATAAGAGTGTTGATGCGGACTTCGGCACTTTCGGGGTCCCGGATAGTCTTGTTGAAGAGGTTGAAGAGGTCCTGGAACTTTTCCTCAAAGCCTTCACCAAGAGTGTCCAAGATGGTGAAGAGAATGTAGATGGCCACAGCACGCTCAGCGGCGTTGCCATTATTACCAGCCTGCAACAGCAGGTTGGGTAGGTCAGCCCACTCGCCGTCGTTCAAATCAATCTTTGCAATAGCGGAGATGATTTGAGAAATGGAGTGCTGGACTAGAGAGGAACTCTCAGCCATGGTCGAGCGAAGCAGCTGCTCGCGGATCTGGGGCTTCTGGTCCGCGGGAACCTTCAACCAGTGCTTGGAAACGAGCGAACGGGACTCAACAGAAGCGAGCTGGCGCAGATTTTGGTCATCGTGGCTAGTGCAAATCTGGATGAGGAAGACAAGAG